CAAATTCTTTTTTTGGGACTCCCTGCCCCTTGGGGTATTGTAGTCCAAACACCGCCCGGGGGGGGGGGGGGGGGGGGGTCGCGATATAGTGCCATATTTGTTAGTGCCAGCTCCGATATAGTGCTACCCTTCCGCGGGTGGCACGAATTTTGAGCCAAAAACGAAGGGTCTCCAGGGAGGCAGTTGGATGGATATGTGTACTGCTCGAGAGCCGCTGCCGCCGCGGAAAGATATTATGCAGTTGCCAACTCGAATAGAGACTATGGCGGAAAAAGGCAGGGTCGATGATGCAATTGGACATCTGCAAAAGTGTAGGCTGGCATTTATGGCTGCGAAAAAGGAGGAAGTCAATGCAACGGCTCGGCAGCTACTAATAACAGAAATGCTTGATTAGAGTCTGTAGTGAAGATACAAAGCATGAGTGATGGCGTCCTGCGAGCGGTCTTTCTGAGCAGTGATGCGCAAGGAAGTGGCTGTAAAAAAGCCGTAAATCTCATTATCTAACAGTGCCTGGTTTGATATAGTGCCGTTTTCGGCCCACTGACACAGGGTAGCACTATATCGCGACCCCCCCTGTACTGTATACAGAGCTGTATGGTGGAAACAACTGGCCTGGCTGTCAGAGCCCGACATGTACTGTAATGTCTCAAATTTTACCACCTGGCAAGGCAGCTCTTTCTTTTCTCAAGAAAAGAAAGGCAGCCAGGTGGTAAGAAAAGAAAGGCAGCCAGCCAGATGGTAAAATTTGCTGAGATCAGCAAAGGTATGCGGTACTACTGTACCCTGTACCGTACAGCTACAATATTTCTCTCAAGACGAAACTCCTATTGCGTTGCGGACGCAGAACACTACTGCATGTATTTCTCTCGCCAACAACGAAGGCTTTACTCTATACTACTGAAGATATTCGTAGTTTTACGATGGTTGAATGGTCAGTGGGACATCAGCTAAACAGGATCCAACACGCTACAGTAGAACAGGACGAATCAAACATTAAAAAAGGAAAAACAAATGAAAGAGAAAAGACATGATAAAAAAGGAGACACGACACGAGGGCGGCAGTGCCGGGGATGGGTGGGAGAGAAATAGACATGGGGAGGAGAGGAGGCGGCATAAATTTTTTAGGACAGCTCGACTCTACCCTTCTCGATTGCAGCAACCAGTTCCGAGATCTCCTTTTTGGCGAATGTAAGTGCGAACGATTCATACGGCACATGTCAACGTTTCAAGTAATGCTGCCTCTAGGACCGGTGATAGTAACCAACGCAAGTGCTGGGAACTCTCCTTAAATTCAATCGCTGTTACAAGAACCAATCGAAAAGTCTACGAGTTTACCAAATTCAATCGCTGTTACAAGAACCAATCGAAAAGTCTACGAGTTTACCAAAGATAAAGGCCCGCGAAATTGGCAATCTATTTTCGTACGCGTTGTGAAAGCCCTCCACAGGGACACGACCTGTGGTTGCCCTCATGTACGTCCGGCTGCGAAGCACATGTTGCACAAGTTTGGTTTCTATGTTTTGCTTCTGTGAGAAGAAAAACGGAGTAGACTATCTCAACAGATGTATGTCAAACTTGCTGTGAGTAGGGATGTGTATAGAGGGGACGACAAGAGGTCTCGACCCACGAAAAAGTAATCGCTTGTCTCACGATGCACTACCTGCACACCGGTAGATGACTAACCGCCTCGAATGGTTGCCAGTCCAGAGTGAGGTTTAATTGATACCACCGGACGTCGATGATGCAACAGCCTCCCCTCAATGGATGGATTAATCGTTATTTGGCATTTGCACATTATAAACGGTTTGAAGACAGCAAGGATACAGTATTATGCCTCACAGAGAAATTAATGCTGCGAGTAACTTTAAACGATGCATCGGGTTTTCCATAGCCAAAGAAAGGAATGAGGTTCGGTACTGTTCGAGCTACCCTTCGAAGGGTAGTGAAGTCCGCATCAACCTTGGCGAGATGGCGAACGTCATCGTGCTGTATTCCTGGAGGCATGCTTTTTTCGTTTCTTGAGGTTTCACGCCTGCGGCCTGGCCGTTCGCTATAATTGGCTGGAAGTGGAGCACTTTATCGACGTTCCACAGCCGTACATGCAGCGTGACGACTTCAGCCGCGAGAACAATTGGAGGCGTGACGAGTCCAAAAGACTCGTCTGAAATTAAGGGAGCAGTACCCTTTAGCCTGAGAGTATGATCGGGCTTCATTAGATCCATTCATCCCTACAACGGAGCCAAGGCCGAGAACGTGTTCCCGCAGGATTGGCAGGCCCGGTACTCCATCTTCATGATGGCTCACTTGCCTCAAGGCACGAGTTCTAAACGTAATCATGGCCTCACCTTTCCTTTTCTACTGTGCTCTTAGAGTTGCCGATGAGGCCGTGCAACACTAATGCTTTGCTTTACGATACACTCTTCACACTTTACACTTCGAAAGTTGTTTCTATTGGCGCCACTAGGTACGAGATTGCTCTCAAACTATTTCACCAGTTTCCAGCCCATCACGACAGCGCATGCCGCACCCTTCACCCTCCCACATAAGGCACCCAAGCAACACCCCAAACCCAGCATATCAGCACACCAAACTCTCTCGGCAACCACTACACCGCAAGAATCATCGCTATGACCTCGAAAATGGCACCTGCAGCGAATCCTGCGTCACCGCCAGGCGCGCCTCCAAATCGCAAGAACCCCTTCCAGGACCCGGAAGCAATGGCCGCCATGGGTCTGGAGCGCACCAAAAATAAGACTGGCTTCATGTACCTCCGAATCGGGGAGTCCGCAACGCACTGGCTCAACAGTCTCCCCCATTCCTCCAGCCCACTCCTCGACTTGGGCGCCGCGTATGGCGTCCACACGCTTCACGCGATGAAGGCGGGGCGAGACGTCATCGCTGTCGATATGGAACAAGCGCACATAGACGACCTTCGCGTACGTGCAGATGATTATGCCAAGTCTGTGGTCGTGCAGGATAACACGGGGCCTGGCAAGCTCGTCAGAGCAACGGTCGCTACTTTGCCTGATCCTTCCGTCTGTGCCGAGGAATCTGTGGCTGGCGTCTTACTGTCTGAGGTGATACATTTCATGAGGCCCGGACAGCCCCAAGTCGTGTTCAGCGATATCTTCCGTTGGCTCGAACCCGGTGGTCGTCTTGTCGTCACCACAGCAGCCTCACAGGGTCCAAAGGTCGCAGAATTTGTAAACAAGGCTGGCTTCAAATTGAATGGTGAACGCAATGTGGAAGAGGCTATCGATATGATATCTACCGCATCAGGACCAGAGCTTGTCAAGGCAGCTCCGACATTCCTGGAATTGCCTCAGGACTCCCCGATGAGGAAATTCGTTTGCGGTGTCTTGTACCTCATGAGCACCAAAGAAGTTGAGACGATGGCGAAAGAAGCCGGGTTCAAAGTCGAGAGATGCCGTTACGTAACCACGGGAAAGTACCCTGACAAAACGATTAAAGGTGAAACAGTCCTGTTGGTTGCGAAAAAACCCGACCCTGCAAAGCGGGATAGGAATATCAGGACTGCTGCCGCTGTTGCTGTGGCCGCCGCAAGCTCACTAGCAGTGTATCATCTCGCCCGGTAGCTGCTGCCTCCATAATCGAATAAAAGAATTATTACACAAGTAAAAAGCACGTCACGTTCCGGGCCGGTGAGTGCGTGCAACCTGTCGGGAGCAGCTACGGCCTCAATCTACCACCAACGGATTGAAGGTCAACTGCTGTCAAACTATCTGCTATTTTGCTATGAAAACTGTTCGTATCCACCGAGAGTATTAACTCGGTAACACTCCTGCTTTGATGAGAGTATGCACTTCCGCGGTGTCCACAAATTTACGTTCCAGTTCCTTCCAGAAGGCATACATGACGAGAAACTTGTCGATTTTGAGAGCCCCTGCTGAGTCCGCCAAACTGGCTTGAGCACAATCACTTCAGTTGCGACGACAGCTCGTTGCAGCTGTAAATGTTGAATTAGGTTGACCCAACTCATCGCATGTGCAGGTAAGCCATGGGTCCAGCACCGATATGGCCAGTAAACGTACCTCATAAACGGTTGGTTCTCTTCAATTCACCGGAACGAATCTCGTTGAAAGCGAAAACAGTAGTACGAAAACGAGCAATTTGCATGCTGGTAGACATGGCCGCTACCAGAGCTCGAAAGCATGTATCCCTTTTCTGCCCAAAAGCTTGTGTTTAAGTCGCAAGTTCCTTCCCGATGGCCATCATCGCTGCGTCCAGCCCCGCTTCCACGTCAGCACCCTCTATACGAGCTGAACGCATAGCAGCAAGTGAATCATCCTTTGAATCGGATGCAGCAGACTCCTCTTCTTCCGAATCCTTTTCCGGTGCCATACCACCGTCAGTGGTACCAAACCCCGCTAGCGACGGAGCACGCTGTTCGTTATCGCTCACAGCCCTCTTGACAAGTATCTCGTCACAAGTTTTTCCATCTGACTTCAAGAACCAGTGTCCGTTCTCTGCGGCTCGTTTCTTCTTTTTGTCAATTCCAATCAAGAAGTTGTTGTTCACCACGATCGGACTTCGGGATCTTGCAGATGTATAATGCTTCTCCTTGGTGTCGTACCATCGTCCGTCGACAAATAGCTCGGTATCTAAAGCTCGGAAAACGACAGGGTTCCGACTCTTGAACTGTTCGTCGAAGAATATCAACTTTGTCAGGATTGACTGATCGTTTTCCATGTATCTGCGAACCCGAGACGTATGCCCTTCCATCTTACTGCTTCTATATGCTTTCTCGAAGCGATGGGATACCTCGCGCCAAACCCTGCGCGTCGCAAGTGTTGGATTCAAATACAAAAAGTTACCCCCAATCTCATGTCTGGTGTCAAGCGTCCCAACTACGTCCACTTCGTCCCCACTATGAATTAACCGCTGCACGAACGGCACCGGATCTCGTAACCAAATTTGATCTGTCTCAAATGCAAAAACCCCAATGCCCCGTTCTAGTATAGCTCGAATGAGCTGCGTGCGTTCCAGCATGAGCAACCAGTATCCAGGGGAACCATATGACGTCCCAGCTCGCGCTTGACCGCCTCTGAACTCGGTCATGCGCACAGTCTGTGAGTTGCTGACGTCTCGAAGTGCGTTGTACGCCGTGTCATCAGTTGTTATCCATACTACCCCTGGCGGACGAATTTGAGCTGCGTCAACATTGCATATCCAGCTGCGTGCCGTTTCAACAAAGGCTGTGTTTACGACTGTCAATGATACTGAGCCACCTTGCCGACGCCCAAGCTCGACGATTTTCTCCAAGTTCGCTGCGCTAATTTGCTCCTTCTTCTCGACCTTCTTCCCATCAAAATTGAATCGAGATAACGGCGGCAAAGCCGAGACCCTGCCGACAGGCGGCAAGGGCTCCGGTCGATGTCGCCTTGGATACACGGTGAAGAGGTTGTACTCTGCACAAAAACGTGAGAACCAAAGCGTCCAGTGCGCACGAGCCGTGCCTCTGTATTGACCCCACGCGGAATCTTTCTTATCCTTGGCACCGACAACCGTTGGCCACAAAAACCATTCAGCCCGATGCGCAGCAAACCAGCGTTGGAAGGCGCGCCAAACTTCTGAGTCGACAGGAGAAAACGCAGCAACGAAGGGCAAATTGTGGTACAAGAAGACCTCGTCGCCAGCTTCGCCCTCACCCACGAATGCAGAGGTGTAACTGCCCGTGCTGCGGCCCAGAACAGATTCTCGGCGACGGATTAAAACGGGCTCAAGTGTGAAGCCAGCAATGTCGGCTGCTGAGCTCATGTATCTGCGGCGGACGCTCTTTAAGTAACGGTAAAACTGCGGGACAAAAGGCAGAGCCCGGGACGCATCGACGATGAGAACCTTCTCCGTGTCACCCCGACTAGGAGACCAACTGGAGACGCCGAGTTCGAACAGACCACCAGTAGTAGCATTATGCAAGGTCTTGTCGCCATGTGGCCAGACGACGTCTTGGCATTGTAGGTATCTCGCCTCGTAGGTGGTAGAATTCGGTTCTGGCGCAAGAACAAGCGAGAGAGACACTGGTTCATTGTCGTAATGTGCTTCAACGAGTGAAGTTATCAACAAAGACAAGGCGCGAGATGAATATAGTTTGGAATCAGGTGGGACATCGAGGGTTGAGGGGGCCGAGAAGGCTGGATTCGGTGGAGGGGGCAGGCCCGTGAAAGCGGGGATAACAAGAACAAGGCGAAAAGGTCTGTCGCCGGAGAGAGGATTGGTTTTTGATGCGAGGGATGGGTGCTCGAAGCCCGGAGCGAGAGGATGGTGACTGTCTTGTGAGGCGAAATGGGCGGAACGACGGATATGCGGGAAGGAGAAGGTGGCAAAAAGGATTAGTACGAGTACAATGCATACACCGCGGGCTATTGGTGAGGTGGCACGTGAGCGCGGGGCCGATTTTGTCGAAGAAGTAGTTGGGAGCGTCAAGGATGAAGATAGGCGCCAGACATTGCGCGAAATATTGCGAAGATGTCTGGAGATGCGAACGACAGCGGTGGTGGGCTTGGGCATGGCGAGCGAGCCTGGAGATTAAGATGGCTTATTGCATCGGATAAGGAGGAGGAGAGAAAGGTGGGGTGGCGACGATGGGGAGAGGGAGGGGTCAACGAGAAATGCGAATGCCGCGGAAGGCCGGAGTGGGGTGGTGCGGTAGAACCCTAATTTTGCCAGTGTGGGCGGGGCACAAAAATAAAAAACTATCACTGCCCCACTTCGCAATTGTACTGTTCGTATGAAGGCAGTGCACCTCCCTACTGTACTGCACATGGGCAGTGCTGGCACAATTCTCGGATATGCCCATTCGAGCTGGTGGATTTGTTGACCAAACTTTGCGGAAAGGACAGCATTGTTGTGCAACTCCGCTGGAACAGGAAAGGACGGCGGGGCATGCTGTGTATCACCATTAGTGTAGCATGTGTGCAAGCCGCCCCGTTCCCATGATGTGCTTGGGGAACAATCACATATGCAATCCTCTACTAGTGTCTATCGGACTGGGGCTTGTCGTCACACAGGACAGCTCTTTTTTTTGCAAAAATACATAAATTAAATTGAACATTCAAAAAGCTACCTTGAGCACTATTTCCTTAACATGCTTGTTTTCGGCAATAGCAAGCATCTTGCAGAACACCGGGATAGCAGCTTTGAATACGCAGAAAGCTTAAGATATACTGCAGATTGAGTACCAAGTTGCCTTTTTAAACTGGCGTTTTTGGTTTCGAAGGTATCTAAAAACAACCAGGAAGAACAAGCAATTCTCACAAAGGTCTTTCTGGCCCCAAATCCGAAGTCAAGCACGGTGGCGCGAGTATCTTTTTCTTTCTTGTCAAGGAAGCGCAAGTCAAGAAAATAACAGGTCGAATAGTGTCCTCATATGAGAACAACGGTCCGATAGATACTGTACAAGGATTGGCGCACCGTACGCACCGCATGGGCCACTACCGCCTAGGTTGCCTCAGCGTGCATCCCTTGCTGTTGTCACAATGCGCCTGGTTGTACCTTTTTGAAGCGGACCCAACTGGGCACCCGACGCTCCAGTCAACGCCTGAGACCCTCTCTAACTTTGTGCACCCTGTACCCCTTCTCCTTCATTTGTAACGCGAGGGTTGCCCTTCGGCGCGATTGTGTTTACCGGGCAGTCGGCACCAGCAAGTTTGCATAATTTGAAAGCCTCTATTAACTACAACAGGAAAACGGCCGCTACAGCCGCAGCAAATCCCCACAAAGCCGCGACCCGTAAGACAGCCGATTCTCCCGCAAAGGCAGCCACTTCTCCCGTATACAGTGTGTCGATCAATTGCGGGATCACACAAAACAAGTTTCTGTACAAAAGACGTCACAAAACAAGGTCAGTTAGCACTTCGCTTAATATCCGCGTTGAAATAGTTGAATCCCCTGGATTCGAAAACTTACAATACACCCAGGTTGCTCGCCAAATTTTCGGGAAATCTCTGGACAACGATCGCCACTGGAATCGTTTGTGTCACGATAAAAGGTACAGCTCCGAGCGCGATCACGCTTCCAGCAACCATCACATTTTTCGTGTAGGCGCATGCGTACAAAATGCTCGAAAAAGCAAAGAAAGATGCTCCGAAAACAACGCGTTCACCGATCGCCCCAACCCATCTGATAATATTGGGGTAGTACGCGCTGAAGATAAGCGCCAAAACAGCTTTGGCGGCGTTTGCAATCGAAAAATAGCTGACCCCGCTCTGATACCGTAGGGCCTCTGGCGTGCCGGCCTCAGCAGTGGGATCCCCACCGAGGACATTCACGCCTAACCACTGGCTGTAGAACGGCAGAGATGCAAACCAGACGAACCATGCCAGCCCATAAACTACGCCCACCTTGATTAGTGGTCTCGGAAACATCATGATAGCCTCCTTCACAGTGCCTACGAGCTCGCCCCATACAGGACCTCCTGCAGCTGTTTGCACAGGTTCTTCATCTCTAATTACACTTTCTTCTATTGTCGGAGCCCTCTCCTCACTTACGCTGGACGCCAGCCGATTCTCTACGTTCTCGTCGTCATCTTCTTCGTCGCCTGTGCCCGGCGCGCTTTCAGATTTACTCTCATCTACAAACTCACCATCCTTTCGGGTTTCTTCCTCGATCGCGCTCTCCTCTTCGAGGAGTTCTTTCGACTTCTCGTCCTCGAGATCTGGGCTCGACCGTATATTGTTAAGCTCAATATCAATTTGGACCCCAGTCGAAGAGGTCTCAGGCATAGCTCCCGTGGTCGCAATAATTGCGTCCTTAGGGCGCAGTGGCTCCTCATGGCACATGAAAAGCGAGACTGAGCATGTAATAACTAGAATGACGCTGGCAACAGAAAAAATCCTCGCAACGTGAGTCACAGGATCCCTCCATGTGTAAATGTACGCGCCAGCGCAAAGCTCTGCAAGAGAAGCAACCACGGCAGCGGCACTCTGAACAGAATGCTGTTCCTCTGGCGGCAAGAGATCTCCCATGAGCGCACGGCTCGGGAACATGATGGCATTTGTGGAGAAGTCGAGTACTCCAAACGCAAAAAAAGCTATCCATCTAGCGGCGGGTAGAAACCCGAATGCAATAGTGGTCGCATTCGCAAAGACGTTCATGCCGAAAATGCAGGCGATCATACCACCCAAAATAAAAGGCCGACGACGACCAAAAGACCATGTGCATCTGTCCGACAGAACCCCAACCACAGGAGCGACAATGAGCCCGCTGAGAGGCCCCATGATCCATACGAGATGAGATAGAAATGGTCCGGCTTTCAAAGTGTGCTGAAAATATGGACTTTTAAAGGAGCATCGCCACAAGAGCCTCGTTAGTTCACGTCAATTATGTGGAACATCTCAATTTGTCGGAAAGAAGTAAAACGCGCATGGTGCGTGAGATGCTACTTACGTCGCAACAGCGAATTTGGAGAGCCATGTGAATGCAAGTCCAAAGTCCGCAAGAACCATCAAATACAATCTTCTCTTCGAAGTAGGATTCCGGGTACTGGAAAACGGAGATGCGGGGGCTTCATCATCTGTACTGAGCTCCTCAGGAGGAATAAATCTTGATTGTACGTGTAGTCCATCTTCGACGTCGATTCTAGTGTTGGCCCCAGCCGCCTCCTCTGCGACTGCATCATCATTCACTGCCATCACTTGGCAAGAGTCTGCATTCTGCCAGAGAGACCGCCCGCAAGATTGGGGATTCCGAAGACTCTAGAGCGACGACACAACAGAAGTGCGAGGGTGTGAGAAAGTGGGGAGTGGGACGTGAACGTGAAGAAAGAAATTGATTATGCTGGTGCCAGCACTACGGATTAAAGCAATGGTGCATATCTACATTGTGTACAAAATATATTTTGCCCAATCACAGGGCTGGAACGAACACACGATGTGCTTGGTGTTCGCTTGGTGTGTCCCCCGCAAAATTTTACTAAACCCCGGATACTAAATGCATACCAAAGACGCAGCAACCTGGCTACATCCACGTATACAACTCTCAGACAAATGCGCATTCTACCAAATCCTTCTTTTATAGTTCCGCGGCTTCGGCACGGAAGCCCACTTGATAGACGCAGCGTTTTCAACTCTGCCATTGGGGGAAACAGAGCCAAGCCGCAACTGAAAATCCTATTTCCTCGTTTGAGCATTTGAAGCTTGCTGCACGGAAGCAAAAACTGACCGAAGACCAAACAAGTCCCTAAACCTTTGATATCATTGTCGCGACCGTGTCATCTGCTAAAACGGTGTTACAACCTTTTCCCTTCCCGTCAAATTGCAAATCGCCGATGTGTTTCCTGTCCTTTACTCGCATTTCACCCACGTCTTGTGTAGCATATAAAGGTGCCGGCGTGAAAGGATCGACATGAATATCGACATTCTGCTGCAATCTGTTCAACCATCCACCTTCCCGTAAACCTGGGCTTTTCTCCTCATTGATATACCTAATGGGTACTCGCACACGTGAAAGCCGTTCTTCAGGGCAGTAGACAAAGGTGATCGTCCTCACAACGTCCGTGAGCGGGTTGAGCATCATGTTGTGTGCCTTCACTCGAATGGAATCAAATTGAGGCTGCTCAGCATCTCTGCCCTCTTCCGTGACGATTCGAAGCTTGTATAAAGGTCCCGCCCATTTATTCCTCCCTTTTTCTTGATAACCAAACAAACCACCCCGAAAGTCCTCCTGCAGTGGTCGAACTGGGACACTAATAAGAAGATCTGGTACATCACCTCTGCCTTGCACCCAGCTCGGAATCCTGTGCCGGGAATGGTAAAAGCGAACGCATGCACATTAGTTTCAATTAGTACTTGTAAGCCGATGGTATCTTCACAAATCATCTACTCCCATTTGCGATCAACTCATCTCCGTCAAAGTGTCCACTTACCATTTTCCCTCGCGCCTCAAGGACTTCTTTTCGCGTTTATGTCCTTCACGAATTACAGCCTTTATCTCTCTGTGAAAGAGGATAGGCTTGGCTTCCGCAGGGGACCCGCATGAACTGTTTTCAGTCTGTTTTGGGTCTCCCGCGGTGGACGGGGTCTCCCGTGGTGTAGCTGACAGACTTCGCGCGATCGCAATGCCCACAGCCGGTTGTCTGGCAGGGATGATCGCTCCCCATCGCAACGCAGCTTTCAGTGCTCCGACCATGTTTGGGGCATCGAGCGCGTAACCACTCAACAGCTTATCCGTCGAGAAGCCTGTCGCTTTTGGTGAGAACAGACGCTCTGCATCGAACAACGATGAAGCGCAGGCGCTCACATGTTGAAAAAGATTTAATTAAATTTTTTCAAGCAAGATCAAATCTCGAAATTGTTCGTGGAACGCTTGTTTTGTTTTTTTACAGTACCTCATCGCCAGTAGACACCAAATTCCCAATATGTACGAGCATACCGTGCAACCAAATTCAGGCAGAAGATACTTGTATGATTACTGTACCCAAGGGTGCTGCAATGCACTACAGGTACTAGCATTTTTGATGCTTGATGATTGATGCTTCAGGACTTCTCTACCGGGCACGCGGTGTATCGTGAATCCAAGTTTTCGCCGGGAAGAACAGCACTACTTGCTGAAAGACTACAATGCATCTCCAAAATTTTGATAAAAGCAACATCGGTCACCAGTCTTATCTCTCACATTTCTTTTCACCCCTCCAACTCTCCAATGTGCAATCGTCTAAAGCTTTCGAACTCATTTAAACATAATCCTCTCGTTGTTCTACTAAATGTTAAGGATGAAATCATAGTAATGCAAATACCGTAGATAGATTCACTTATTTCGTGTGCAAGAAAATTCAGAGGGGGTGGGGTCTGAAATACCCGGAAGAACAACACCATCCATATAAATATCTTCATCTAATAAAGGGCTTTTCCACTGCTTCCAGCTGGTAGAATAAACAGTGTCCGTGACCCTGAGAACTGTTGCAATCGGCTGAAAAGAACTGGTTTAGCATCACGATGCTCATCGTCTTCTGTACGATTTTTGTCGGTGCGAGCTATGCTGTTGCAGCTCCAACTGCCCGGTTTCTTGAATTAAATGGGTTTGAGGATAATTCCACGAATGAAAAGCAGTTCACCGCAAACGACTTTGCAGGCACCTACTCTCGGTTTATGGAACTGTCAAGGTCTGGACATCTATGTCCAAAGTCGTTAGAGCTCCTGTCTAATGGTGTGCTCAAGAGCGATGGCTCTGTCCAGATTCAACATGTGGATGCAAAGCTCAACAACAAAAGATGTATCTCCGATGGAAGTTTATCTTTCCATTTCGGGCGAAGGCTTGAGAAATCATTCATTGAAAATCAGCTCAAGTTGCCGAGGGAGTCAAATGGAATTGAAGCAGTTATTCGCAACATTGTATTCCAACTGAAGAACTTTTACTATGCAGTAGAAACACAACACATCGAGTGCGGTGGTGCTTCTCTTTTTTCTGGGACAGTCCTTCTTTTCACCTCGGATAGTGAGGTCTTCGGTAGGGCCTTGCAGATACCTTGGTCCGGACATCCCCGAATTGCCTTCTTACGTGACAGACAGAAGTCATGTGCCTTTAACGGAACGTGGTTACCGCAGAGGGAAGGGCCTATTCCTATCAAGTCACCGGCCCCGGTATCATTGGAGAGCTCACCTTCATCGATGGAAAATGAAGACACGACGGCTGTTCCAACAGAGAAACCAGATTTCATCTCCTCCCCTGCTCCACCTGAAAGCGATGTGTCAGAGGCAAATCCTACAGTCACCACAGTTCCCCCAAGTTCGTCAGCTGCAATTTCGTCTACATCTGCAGTGAAAACATCAGCCACAGCGCCTAGTTCCTCGACGAAAAAAAGACCACCTCCACCACGCAGAAAGGTACCTGCTTCCTCAGGCTCAAGAGGCCCTCCTCCAACCAGCACAATTCCATTTACTACCACTTCGAAAACCACTTCGTCAGGTACTGCGACCGTCACCACGCCATCATCTTCACTTTCCAGTGATTCGATGACATCGGCCACTACTATCTCAGGAACCACAACTACAGTCACGAGTACAGCAGGAATGACGACGTCAGCAATAGCGACTTCGAGCACAGGTGCAGCAAAAAAAGAACCCTCTGCCACTTTTCCTACGTCTACAACTACACAAGATGTCACTACTACAGTGCCAGAATCGTCTGCTTCCACAGCAGGTACTGCCACAGAGGCTACTCCTACTTCTAGTGCTACTACTTCGACCATGGGTACCCCGACTTCTACTGCAGGAACATCTGCAAGTACCGTTTTTGCACCTTCCGCAACTACAAAGTCCCCAGTCACTACAATTGCCACGATGACTACAGGTGTGGGGCCGACATTCTCAACAATAATCGTAACCACCTTGCCCACTGGAACTCCAGTCACAACAGCGTCATCGGCAACTAATTCACCTGCATCAGTATCATCAACTAGGCCTACGGTTTCTTCTACTGTTACGAATGCACCCGTCACCCCACAACCAGAGGCAACTGGTCTGAATGTGACCGATTCAAATAACCCGGATCCTCCAGTGGCCCCAGGGACCGATAACTCTTTCCAAACTTCATCGCCGGTCACAGCCTCGACCGTTGCGGCTAGTGTGACTTCACCTAAGTCTCTTCCACCTACGACCTCGAGAACGATTTCGCCGACGGTGACACCGACGACACCAGTCACTACGCCAACTGGCGGCTCCAGTACGACTGCTGGTATATTTTCATCTCCAAAGCCTTCGATTCCTGCTGGGCCTGGGGAACAAGTGAACGCATCTGTTGAACATGGCTCGCCTATTTCCACGAAGGGGCCTATCCTTTTTGGAGACAAGGAAATCCCCTCACCAAGTGATTTGCTCGAAGAATCGCCAATGCCATCGCTCTCACCGGGTGGTAATGAAACTATTCCGATGCCCAGCACTGACGCTCCTGTATCGCCCCTTCCTTCAAAGTCAATAGAACCTTCACCTCCTCCGCGTCAAAATAGCGGCGCATCTGATGAAAGTAGTGATGGGTCAACCTGTTTCCCTGCCCATGTTTTGGTGAAACTGTCAACGGGACAAAAGATAAGAATGGACAACATCGACACTGGGGATGTCGTCTTCGTCGGAGAAGGGCAGACCTCTAAGGTTGTGGGATTCACTCATTCGGACCGCCACGCTATTTCAAAGTTTGTCAGATTCACCACTGACTCTGGGAAGGTTCTTGAAGTCACTTCGACACATTTTGTCTATACTCAAAGAGGGTTGGCACAGGCAGGGAAAGTTACAAAATCTGACTTTTTGCAGCTGGAGGAAGGTAGAATGACGAAAGTCATTACGATTGACAGCGTCCTTGCGAGAGGGTTGTTCAATCCTCACACAGTTTCCGGTGACATTGTCGTGAATGACTTCGTGACAAGTACGTATACAACCGCCGTGGACCCCAGTATTGCCCATGCACTCCTTGCCCCGATTCGTGTGCTTGAAGGTCTTGGAACAAAAACTTCTATTGTGACCATGCTCTCCGGAAACCCATGGATTGTGTGTATGGCTCGCAGGTTCTTCAGTGGAGATCTTTCGTGAAGGTGATATATCTAGTTAGCTTTGCCTTTTTGGTTGGGACAAATTGTCGCTTATCTTGCGACAGCATGGCCACGAAAATTAGAAGACTACTTTCTGCGATACGCCCCTAAAGAATAAACTACGAGGAGTGTTCGCAATCCACCAGCGATGCTTAGGATCCTTTAATTCTTCATGTCACGTTTGTACTCGCGATGGAGTAAAACATTCATGCACTCTCAAACCCATCATTGACGATAATAGCCAGATTTTCGACTGGCGATGAGTTTCTATCGATTGTAGGCGCCTGTCCATCTGTACCCCAGTCTCGAGTTGGAACTGATTTAGCGTTCGTACACGTCGGCTGGCTCCGGATGACTTCGCCTACAATCCACGCGGAAACAGAGCAGTTCGGTAGTCAAACTCTACGAATTCCCGAAGTTCCAATATGAGGAATGGGCTTCGCAAGAGGCGTGTTCTCAATAAGTGCAATACCGAAGTGTGTTAATTAGAAACAGAGTTAAAGACAACAATACCAGGATGAATCCATGCATGTGTGAACACCGAAACGTTTTATCGTGTTATATTAATTGAAGAAGAATCTAGATATGCGCATACAAGTAACAGACGGGAGTTGACTCTTATCCTCGAGCCATGTCGTGAGATTAGTCGGTTCACGCAGAGTTTCGGCAAGAAACTGGATATCCTCTGCACAATCAATATCTAGTTCTGACAGCTTGGTAACAACATCATCAATTCTCTTTTGCGGCTTGCCTGGAAGTGCGGCCGTGATCAAGTCTTCGAGATCCTTGTCGCCGAACTCTGCGACGACGTCTCTCAGGACTGGGGCCGGTTCAGGTGCAGGGGCTGGTGCGGGGGGTGGAGCAGGATGGGCCATTTCTGCGGAGCGACGATTGCGATCTAGTCTATCTCTGGACCTAGAGCCACTACGGGAATTGACGCGAGGAGCCCTCCGTGACTCGCGGGAAGAATTGGATGAGTTGTTAGAACGTTCCGTCGAACGGCGATTGACATCGTTGTCAGTGCCTTCGTAATCAACGAGAAACCAGGAATGTCCCTTAACATTTTCCAAAGAGTAGCGTTTGTCGGGGTCCTTCTCCAGAAGCTGTGCGATGAGATTCTTTGCATCTGCCGGCATCCAAGAGGGATATTCAACCTTGCAGCGGTTAATTTGTTCATAGAGTTTTGTCATATCTTCATTTTGGAAGGGAAGAGTGCCTGTGAGGAGGAGAAAGAGGATGATTCCGCACGACCATGCATCGATCTTGACGCCAGAGTAGCCCTCCTCTGCACCATTAATAATCTCTGGTGCGCAGTAATACGGGGTTCCACACGCCGTGTACAGCAAGTCACTGCCGCTGACGCCGCCCTTCATTGAAGAAACGCCAAAATCTGTAATCTTCAAGGTCCCGTTTTCATCGACGAGCAAATTTTCAGGCTTGAGGTCACGATGACAGACGCCTCTCCTGTGACAATAATCAACGCCATCAATGAGCTGTTGGAAGTATTTACGGGCAAGTTTTTCATCGAGTTCGCCTCTCCTCTCAATTTGTTCAAAAAGTTCGCCGCCGCGGACCAAGTCCATGACGATGTAAAGCTTTGTCTTCGAAGAGAGGACTTCTCGAAGATTGACAATGTTGTTATGGTTTAGGGCCTTCATGATGGCGATTTCGCGACGGACATTGACGGTGAGCTCATTGGCTTTGATGTCCGACTTGTCGAGAATTTTGATGGCGTATTCGATACCAGTCTCCTGATGTTGGGCGAGCTTAACTTTGCCGAAGGTGCCCTGGCCGAGGGTAGAGGTGACAATGTAAGGACCGACGCGGGACCCCATGTCGATACGTGGAAGCCAAACGGAAGTGAGAAGGAAAGCAGTGGGGGAGAGCAGTGGGATGGGAAGACGTGAGAGACGGGAGGCCGAAAATCGTTGGCGCAGATGCGGTGGGAGCGAGGGAGGGGAAGGGGGTGACGATGTACGGATGAGGATGAAGACAGGTAGCGAAGTGAAATGCAGGCGGTGGGTGAGAAAGCGTTGTGCTAGGAAAGTGAAGTGAAGACCAAGCCAGGGAAAAAACGAAACACGGCTATGACGCTCCATTTTGTCGGTTTGTCTAAAGGCACCGCGGTGCCTCTCTCGGAGCGCCTTGTCGCCTCGCATTGCTGCTGTCTGGTGCACCGCTCCCACCCCTCACTGCCTTTCCTGCTTTGCATTAATATTTCTCACCTTCACTCGACAGCCTGTCTCGTTCCAACCCACTGTCAGTCCCGTTCAGTCGACAATTCCAATGCTTACATGCGCTTACACGGCAGAACCGGGAACAACCCAGCGCCAGCCACGTGTAGTCCACCCATTTGTGCCCCTGGCTTCTCTTCTCTCCTGTTCTGAACGTGCAGTATGTCCGTTCCCTCTCCCAACATGTACACGTGTACACGTCCATGGTGCTTCTCCCGCTCAAGACTGCCACCGTGTCAACCTGTCCACGTGCACACTCAACCTTGAGATCAACTCCAAATCCCTTCCTTGTAAACTGTCTGCATTGCAAACATATCTCTCCTCCCCTCCTTCTCCACCCCACCTTCTCCACCCCACCTTCTCCTACCCGAAACCACAAAATGTCGTCACAAAGACAGACCTCGCGAAAAGCCTTCCTCCCGCATCCGGCCCTCCCGCATCCTCAACACCCTCTCCAAGCCCGCAACCAATGCATCTGCGCAGCAAAGCGCCTCTCACGCCCGCGACCCCCACGTCCGCCTAAAATCACTCGTCCGCGCCCGACCACCCCGCCGCCGGACCCGCGCCAGGACCGATGGGCTGCTGAAAACCTTGGCTTTCTGCACATCGCGACCATAATTGGCGCGCACGGTGTGCGTGGAGAAGCGAAGGCCGTGTCCGAGGGGCACTTTTCCGTCTCCCGCCTCGGCCCGGGCGTCCACTTGCACGACCGATACCTGCTCCTGCCTGGCAGGCGATACCCGCGCCCCGTGCTCATATCCGCAGGAAGGAAGGCTAGCCAGAAGAATACATGGATACTTCGCCTGGAGGGTATCGATTCTAGGGAGGACGTTATACGCTTTAGAGGCGCGAGGCTCTATGTAAAAGAAGGGGACAGGCCCAAGCTTGCGAGAGATGAGTTTATGGTTGCGGATCTAGTTGGATCTCGGGTCCGTTGTGTTGGAGATGATACTGTTATTGGCGTGGTCGATAGCGTCATTACAAAGGATGATCTTTGCACCGCTGCCGGGTCCGGGGCAGCTGCTGCCTCTGTGGCCGCCGATTTGCTTGAGATCGCAATCTTTCCTGTCAAGGAAGACCCCTGCAATGAGTCTGTGGGCTATCCTGACCGTAGTAACACCAGTTTCAAGGGCGACATTCCGGAAAAGGCAAAGCGCGTACTTGTCCCGTTTGTCAAGCAGGTCGTCCCGTTTGTTGATAAAAAGAATAGTATCATTAATATCGACCCGCCGGAGGGACTGCTAGATATCGCTGTTGTTAACAGGAAGGAGAAACCGCGCCCGCCGAGAGGATTACTCATGGCTGCGAAGGAATAACCACGTATGCTACTTCGCAGCGACTTAACTGGGAAAGCGCCCTACTCATGTCTTCTTTCGCGCCCTTCAATTCATGCTTCTTTGCTTGCAGACGATTATGGATGAGGCAATTTGGGCTCCGGTCCCCAGCACTAGGCAAGGAAACAGAGATAAGCGCACATTTGGACTTGCCATCGTGGTGAGTCACAGGATTCCAGCTGAGCGCGTGTCACAGGCGAATCTAGAACACAGTGATAAACGCAAACGATGTATAAAGCAGTGCTAGCGGATACCATACGAGCCAGAATTGGTCTCGCATCGATAAGACAGCGACGAAGATTTTGGTGGCTGTGGTGGTACTCCAGAAGATGCAACCACCACCGAGCACAATGCTGAGTGCCTTGACTTTCAAGGGAATGAAAATAGCGAAGAATGACAAAAGCACCATCGGTAGAAGCGAATACCCTAGAATGCTTGTTGATCTGTACAAATCGATACCGCGCTGCGACATAAGGTTGAACACAAAGTAAACAGCCAAGCAACCTACAATTGCTTGCCCATAAATGACACTGAACTGTACCTTGCGCTGCAGCAGTAGTAAAAATCCCAGTAACAGGCAGAAAAAGACCGGCCCCGTCATGTCGGCCTCGTCAGCAAAGCTGCTGTCGATATGGGAGAAAGGGTTAGCCACTGCACGGGCTTTGGCGATCACGGACGCGACGTTGATTCCAAGTTCCTCGAGCAGTGGAGGCTCATCATCAAAAGTCGTGGTCGACTGTTGCGACGGCATGAAGTAGTGCTCGTTGGTGCTGGAGACGTTGCCGTTCATCCCCGCATTTCGGTTTCCCTGTGGAGGGCCATAGCTTGTTTGATAGAAGCCACCATTGCCTCCGCCACTAGTCATGTTCGCATTCGGGAAGGCAATACCTTCCATTTGAATCCCGAGTTTGGTTTGTTGTGGTGAAATAGAGATGGGACGCGCGTCCACTACTAATACTATCAAGACCCGACGATGAGAAACGAAGGAATGAGGGAGAGTTGCTCGTACACGTGCTACAGAAGGCTTTTCTTGCGCGCTTTATTTATTTGCAAACTTCCCATCATTACACCACTGTAATGATTTACATCATACTTTACTGTAAGCACAGTCGCGCCTTCCAACGCATGATGCTCAACTTGCCGAAATGATATAGGCCTGTTGTCTCCCCAACCCATAGAAGTTGAGTTCTGCTTTGCATTACTTGACCTGATCCTTCATCCCTGATCCACGCGAACCGCGTTGCGTCAAGATGCGCAATTTTGATTTCCTCGACGCCGAGTACGCCATCAGCGGCACGCGATCGGATGAGGCCAGAGTGAGCCCCGATGCCATTGATCTCGGGCTATCCAACTCTCTTGTGGTCCCGCAAGTCGATCGGCCCTCCTCGTTTCTTCGCGATGCCTTTGCAAATGTCCCGGAGAAGGACAGAATTCGCTTTGCTCATGGAACGACAACCCTCGCGTTTAGCTTCAAAGGCGGCATCATCGTAGCGGTCGACTCTCGCGCGAGTATGGGACAATACATTGGAAGCGGAACGGTCAAGAAGATCATCGAGATCAACCCTTACTTGCTGGGTACCATGGCGGGTGGCGCTGCAGATTGCAGCTTCTGGGAGAGGGACCTTGGCCGACGGTGCAAACTTTATGGTGCGTTCGGATCAAAGTATTGAATACATGTCAATTACTATGCCAATTATGCGCGTTTGTTGCGAATTCTAACTGAACTTTTCTATGATCATGTGCCCGTAATTGCGATCAACAGAACTGCGCAACAAGGAGCGTATCTCTGTTGCGGCTGCCTCAAAATTGCTTGCAAATACAGTGTATTACTACAAGGGCATGGGACTGTCTATGGGGTATGTTGGGTTGCTCACTGCCTGGCTGCGTTTCTTCCCGAGTCTATTTCGCAATATTTTAACCTCGCAAGTTCTAACCGCCTCAACTGTGTTTCAATGTGACTACCATCTTGACTTCGCTGTTTAGGACTATGATATGCGGGTGGGACAAAACTGGACCGAGTATCTTCTACGTGGACTCCGACGGCACGAGGCTGAAGGGCAAAATGTTTTCCGTCGGATCTGGGTCCACATTCGCGTATGGTGTGCTCGACCAGGGGTATTCTTATGACATGAGCGACGAAGAGGCCATCACCCTTGGCCAGAAGTCCATCTACCACGCCACACATCGTGACGCTGCGTCAGGCGGTGTAATTAACTTATACCATGTGAAGGAAGACGGCTGGGTGAAGATTTCATCAGAGGATATGATGGTACAGCATCGTGCCAGGATGGCACAAATTAAGGCGGAGAATGAAACTTCCGCTGCGGTGGTGGCCGAACCAGCCGCCGCATAGGGATCAATAATACTCACTTTTTGAATAAAGAAAGTTGTGCTGTACATTGTAGATTGTTCAGATTCAAGCGGAAGGCTCAATCATGTCATGCCCTTGCAGTGTGCTTCTTCATTTAGAACAAAGAATCGCTGGCAATCCTAAGAGCAGCACCGTCAGAAGCTCTTTCCGGTGAGCGTGGGGCAATTATGCGTGCTGTTGTACCGCGTTGTCTCTCTTCGATGTATCGATCACTCCCCTAGAGTAGGCGGGGGATGGCGAGAAATGCCACTGCTCTAAGAAGGGCCTTTACTTGCATCGTGTCCAGTCTGCGAGCGAGTAAAAAAATACAATTGGTGTGTGACCTGCATCTTTTGGACTGTATTGTGTACCGTACTTGTACGGTACCAAGGGTACTGTACAAGTTCAAAAAAAATAACAAATCGCTACACCTCTCACATGAGCCTCAGGCGGATTTGCCGTTGCATCGCTTCCGGTTTGAGAGTTGTAGCTCCAAAGCGTACTACAGTGTGTCGGCAAGGCCGTAGGGACACCCGTTATCGAGACATGAACAGCACACCAAGCCGAAGATAACTTCCACAGCCCACTAAACTCATTTGCTCGGCACTATTGTGCATGTGCGAAGAAAACTTCTGGGACTGTACTCCACGAGGCGCAAAGCGATATCGACAAAGCTTATACCTGCACCTAGTCTTCAGCATGGCAAGTGAAGGTGTCACTAACCTTGGCATTGACAAGTTCTTCGAGAAGAACTCTGAGCTTCACTCAGGATGGCTGAGGTCTTTGCACAGCATAGCAGAGCGCTCCTTCGAAGAGCAAGAGACGTCAAACTTCATCTACAGTATATTGAAAGAACAATGCCCGTCCCTCAAAGTAACACGCGGTCTCAATGACGAGCTTCCCACAGCGGTTCTTGCGGTTCACACACCGCGTGACCCAACACTATCTCCCATCCTGTTGCGAGCCGACATGGATGGCCTTCCAATACGTGGGACAGATGGCACACCATCACCTTTGCACCCAGATGTTCACCATGCTTGCGGACACGATGGCCACGTCACATGTTTGCTCACGTGTGCTCACTGGATACATAACTTCCGCGATTTAACTCATCGCAAGGTCGTACTTTTCTTCCAACCGGCGGAGGAACGGGGGGTCGCCGCCATCGGAGGGTCTGGTGCTCGCATCGCGGTAGAGAGAGGCGAGTTGCTTGACACACTCCATTCGGACGTTGAAGCAGTTTATGCGTTGCACTCTTGGCCAGGCCTTGAGGTAGGCCACTTTGGTGTCGGGGCAGGTCCCATGATGGGGTCCTCCAGCAAGTTTGTCATAGAGTTTGCTGGACACGGCGGCCATGCCGCAATGACTTCCGAGGAAGGGGGCGACGCTTTACTGGCAGCGTGCACCATGGTAACCTGTGCTCAAGCTGTGATTGCACGTGGGACAGACGCTTTCATTCCTGCCGCTGTTGCGTTCACAAGCGTGGAAAACGTCGATTCCCACGCCCTTGGCGCCATCCCATCTCAGGTACGCGTGTGTGGTACCTTTAGAACGCTTGACACGCAAACGAAGGAGTCCATCCTCAAGCAATTGCGACGGCATGCGGCTGGTGCTGCGACGATGCACGGATGTCAGGGCAACGTGTTATTCACTGACGGCTATCCCGTGACCCGCAACTCGAGTGATGGTGCGCTGGTAGCCCAGTTCGCTGCTTTACGAGCTGTAGGAGGAGATGAATCCAAAGTGCATTCTGTCGGCGTCGAAGAGGGCATGCTAAAGCCCATTCTTTGCTCAGAGGACTTTTCTATCCTGCTCAAGAAGCGTGCTGGTGCCTACGTATGGCTTGGAAATGGTTCTGGAGGTCCGAGGCTTCATGAAAGCTCGTACAGATTTGATGAGAGAGCAGTGCCGTTCGGTGGAAAGCTGTTTGTCCATTTGGCGACCAGTCCCGCGACTGTTGGCAAGAACCCGAACAGAGCGGAATTTGGAATTGCTTGATTGCAGCGGTGCCCTACCGATTCCGTGACCTCTCAGAACGAGAATGTAAGGGTATGTATACGTATGCCGTATGTCGTGCGCGTGGGTCTTTCGTGGGCCATTGGTTGCACATAGGCGAAATGTTTAAGCATGGACGGCTTGGCGACGTATCTTTCTGCCCGGTCATTTGATTTCCATTCCGAAATGCTGAACAACTTCCAAACTGTAGGGCATGCCATGAGCCATGATGCAACGACATTATTTTCAGTAATATCTAAATATCGCCTCCATTACTGCAATATGGAGGTTACAAGGGGGTGTGAAATCCATGCTCGATAGATCAAACTCAAGGGATGTACAAGCGCTGATAAGGCGAAGATTGAAAGGTGACAAAGAAATCGTGTGGAAAATGTCAACCATGTCTGACGTATCGAGGACCATGGAAGGCAGTCTTTTCATATCACTGTTTCCAAGGTGAGGCCCCGTTGCAATATGGAAGATTTTTGCTCGATGCCAAATTGCAGCACCACGGGAGTCGCGAGTATTCTGTACGAAGTTAGCCAGGCCCCACTCAATAAACTCATGAATGAGATGTACATCAGGAGACAGAAAAGGCATCGGAACGAGTGCCTTAGTCAAGTATCACTTTGGCATGAAGAAAACAGTTGCACGTGGGTCTGAGGAATGTATGTCGTCGTGTCTATCAGAGGGACAACTGCTCCGCATTGAATATTCAGGACTTCTTTCTGCCGAGCTTTCAGCTCTGGGAAAGAGTGCGCCATCCCTTCGAGACAACCAAAGAGCATCTTTCAGAGAGATGAGTGACACTGAGCCATGGCGATACTTCGTACAACACGCAACGCGGACAAAGAGAAAGCATGGGAGACCATTGTTTTCCTTGTGTTTGCTTGTTTGTTGGAATCTGGGAAACAAAAGATGGGTCGCCTCACTAATGAATAAACTACACCCGTTAACGGGATTTAGTCTGGGGGAAAAATTAGTGGAGAAAATGCATAGTACCCAATTAGAATGGCCTACATTAATATCAGTTCGACATGGATTAACTTTATTTAAAGACAGGGCGGTGTCCCACAGTATCAGTTCGGTGACTTTTGCTGAAATATGGGCCAATCCATTTTCCCCGGACTGTATAAAGTGGGGTACCCAAATTAGAGTAGGCCATGCTAATTTATGTTCTAAGGTGCCGAAAATAGGCCTGTAAATTAGTCTAGCCCATACTAAATCCTGTTATCGGTGTACCACACTAATGAGATTCCTTCCCATGAATGGCCTATCCCTGCACCAATTGCAAGATTGCTCATCCACCTACGCCTGACTGTGCGCAAGTTAACTTGCCCGTCCTGTTTCGCATTGCGAGCACACATATGGCGTGTACAATGCGTTTGTCCTGCATGAATGGATCTAGCCCGCAGTATGATTTGTTTTAAAAATCGATGTACAGTGCTACGTCTTTTTGTTAAGCCAAACAAAATGGAACCCACAGAATCGGGACTCGTACTCCTAGCACGATGATAGTGCTAGGAGTACGAGTCCCGACATGTGTTTTGCGTAGTTGTCCAGCGTAACTGAGTTACACCAACTACGCAAGATGCCCTTGGTGGCACAGTGCGAAGAGTCTAACTCTTCGCACTGTGCCAAGGGTATCGTACGGCCCAAACGCATGGATATGCTATACTTTTTCGAGCAGCAGTGTGTGCTGTCCCGTGGCGTGAGAACCGCAGCGTGATTTTTGAGTATTCCATCCAATTTCGCAGCGGCGGACAGCCAACTTTCAGGTCACTTTTTCCAAAAATAACTGTGCAATAACCAATGCGAGCAGCTGACTCGCCATTTCGGCAGAGGAGACAACTGCAAACCCTTTTTTGAGGTCGAGTGGAAGTTGAGATGGACATTCATGAAGAAAATGAAGATACCCCATCTCCTCGCGCAGGCGAAAAAAACTCTGGAAGCTAAAACAAGACCGATTAACCATCATCGCTTCAGACGACCTTGGACGGTTTTGAGCCTGCCTTTTAGAAAATTTCGGTTATCATACGTGGACACTTCCTATGAGCAGAAAATATATCCAGGAACAAAGGATCCCGTAAACCATATCAAGATGTTACTTGTAGTGTACAAAAAGTACGTACAGTACCCAAGGGTACAGTACCATGTCCTTCTGTACGGTAACTTTGGCCCCCGATCGCCAGCTGCGAAGGTACACTATGTACCCGTATCGTACGTGAGAAGCGCTATTTTGTGCATACTGCAGTACAGTACCCTTGGTACTGTATGGAACCCTGCCATGCCGTACAAATGGCGGCCGAAACGTTCGGAAACGTGGATATCGTCATCCAACCGAAAAATATTCGTTTGAAAGCTACGAAGCATGCCATAGATACGGCACACTGTTCATTACAGTTTGTACAGCAGCCTTCAGAGAGCAGGCCACGTTTCTTCCGTTCCGGGTTTCCGAGAGCAGATCACCTCTCCTGAACAACGCCGCTGCCTTAGGTACCAAGGGTACTCATACAAAGTTCTCATACAAACATCATCACAGAGCGTCAGCACGCCTCCCAAAAGTACTCTAAGCATTCCAACCGCCTTTCCAACCGCCTTTCTCGTAGAGATCATGCTTCTTCACTTCCCTTTTCGCAACTGCTCCTTGATTTATCAACACTCTTCGCCTCCAGCTTGTCGATCGGCGCTCGTCATTACTTTTTAGGCCGCTATGAATGACCCAAAGAATGATGAGTTATGGGGCTTCATTGCCAAGGCCTTGTGGACTGGTCCCATCACATATCTCGTCGTTGTCGGCCTCGCCTTTCTTCGTGATGTGTCGCGGAAGTCCATTGTCACAGGAAACACCCTGGCTCTCACTCTCACGAAATCTCGCTTCTCCCCGTACGCATGGAATGAATACTATATCAGAATCTACCGTGACACCCAAATCTTCTACCTTGTCGAGGTCTTCAGACTTATTATAAACCTCGCAGTTTGCGTCGTTTATATCATCGGAACCTATACCCGTAATGTCTTTGGCTACATTACCATCATCAACCGAATTGGAGCGAGCTTTTTCATGCTGGATATCGTCAGCGAAATGTTCTCTGCAGAATCCGCCATCTCGTCCGCCTCTTCTTTGAACACTTTCTTTGATGCTTTCTCACTTCCCTCCCTGCTCATGGCCTCCGGCCCGAACCAGTTTCTCAATTTTTCCTTTCTGCGCGCTGTCCAGGCTTACGGCGCCTTCAGTCGCCTGGAAAAACGCCTGCTAGTCCAAGTCATGAGTAGTAAGCGCCTCTTTGCAAAGCTTGGCATGCAGTGCATTACCTTGTTTTACACCCTTGCCAGCGCTATTCAACTTCTTGAAGTTCCAGGCGACCTGCTCAGTGTCAATTTTCGAGACACTTGGCTGCAATTCGGCGACTGGAACTTTTTTAACAGTGTTTACTTCGTCGTCGTCACCCTTTCTACTGTTGGATATGGAGACTTGTCGCCGTCTACCGTCCAGGGTCGGCTCTTCACCCTCATGATCATCGTCATTGGTATTGTTATTTTTACCAGCGTCATCGGAGAAATTGTCGAGCAATCAACTCGCGGCCGCGGCTCAGGCTGGTTTGTGAAGAACCCTAACGCCCGTCACGTCATCGTCTGTGGGAATCCAACTCTATCCTCCCTCGTACTTTTCGTGTCGGAGTTCTATTCGGACACACGAGAAAGTAATATGACGGCAAAGATTGTGGTCCTTGTCGAGAACCCCACGTGGTCTGACACGGATTGGTTCCAGCACATTGCGAAGAATTCTTTTCTGCAAGCCAGGCTCACTTTCTTACAAGGATGCCTACGAAACTCCATAGATACACAACGCGCGAAGTTGCCGAGTGCCGATGCCGTGTTTTTCCTCACCTCTCCGTCTACAGGGGAGGATCCTTCGCTGCAAGACATTAGAACCGTTATGAACATTCTAGCTGTCAGAAACGCGCGTACGGACATCCCCATCTATGCTCAAACCTTACTAGAAGGATCCAATCTGCAGACTAATGTCGCTTTAAACACAGCGACAACCTTCAGCAAGGGGACTTACTTTCGAGATTCAAAGAGCATGCGACCTTCGGCTTCTTACCAAGGTCTGTTCCACGCTGTTTTGCAGGCTGAAGTCCATGATTTTGCAAAAGCGCGCCTAAAGAGAGACAGCAAAGAGGTGGAAGACGCAATAGAGCACCATAAAAAGGTGCTCCAAGGAGTAGGTGTGCTCTCCTGTGAAGGAAAACATGTCGATTTGGAACGCTCTTCCTTGATCTGTCTCCAGGAAATACAAATGGCCCTCATAGCCGGAAATATCAGAGTCAACGGACTTGCCACACTGCTCTCAAACATGTATCTAGACATCCCAGCTGAGAAGCCATGCCCAAATGATCCTTCGTGGTTGTGGGAGTACCAGATGGGCTCGTCATGTGCGCTCCAATACGCCATCATTCCGGAACAGCTCCACGGCGTTGCACTGAAGAAAATTGCCATTGAATTGTTCCATACTGGTTTAGTTCTTGTGGGAACCACTGATATTGGGCACAAGCTCCTTCATCCTATCCTCGACACAGATACATTTATGCGCAAGGGTGACATTGGCATTTTCTTGACATACCTTCAACAAGATCATGTAGCAGCGGCGCTCCACGTAGTTGCTTCTCGGTATAAGTTAGGGCGGCTGCGCCAATCTGTGCTTCCATCTATTTCTTCAACCGACGACCTGAAGCATACCTCGTCTGGCTTGGACCCCATGACTAAGCGTCTTTCTGGGATTAGCAATACATCTATGAAGATAGAGGATGCGCTCTCAACACCAAACCTTACGCAATCCCTCGCTACTGTGAAAGCAACTCGTCACCGAGAAGAAGACCAAGAGGATATCGTTGGCGGTGATTTGTTAGATTCGCAAAGACGCCGTTCATACGAGAAGTGCACGGATGGCTACATCCCCGATGCTCTCTCTGGCCATGTCATAGTAGCCATCGAAGGAGATGCAGCGTTGGAGAACCTTGCCCTCTTTCTAAAGAAGCTGTGGGAAAGAAGCAATAGACGCTCCATGAGGAACGCACGGCGATCTCGAGTAGTGGTAATCCATCCATCCATTACTGACAAGTATCGCAAACTATTCACGAGACACGAAAGGGAGTCTTTATTCTTTGTGGAAGGGTCTCCGTCTTCTGCTGACCCGTGGGCAAAGGCAAGGCTAAAGACTGCGAAGTCAGTTGCTACTATGGCTGATTACACCCGTCCGTGGAGTATATCAGATGCTCGAACCATATTTACGCTTTTGACTCTTGATGTCAACACCGAGCATGACCACGATTTGTTCATTTGTTCTGAACTAGTTGACGAGAAATCGTTAGAATTTTTGAGAGAACCATCACACCCCCGTAGACGTGGTGCAAGTCTGGGAGAGACGTCACGCCAAACGTCTGCGAATGCATCTCGCAGCCAATTTTCTGCATCTCCCGCACATTCCTCAGTTGCTTCTCCAGAGATTTCCTCCCGACTTGGGGAGCAACAAGATGCAGTTCAATCAATGCCTGCAGCAGTACTAGAAGCGAAGGTAGAGAAATTGCCAGGGGCAGATCTACCAGGAGAACTGCCGCCGAAAGCAGCTTCAGGCACGGAACTCCATATCAATGTGCCAAGCCCACCAGACGAAGATTCCACTACTAATAGTCGAGGTGCCGCAAATCCGGTGCATGCCGTCCTTACTTCAGCGAAGGACCTCAAGAAGTCTGCAGTAGCTGCAGTAGTCGGAAAGGGACACGGTTCTGTGAAGAGCGGAGGATCACAACATAGTAAGCAATTGAGACGAATGTCCTTTAGGTTGCCCGAGCCAGAAAACCTGGTTCCTGAGAATGGAGCAGCTGCAGTAGATCCATCAAATAAGCCCGGCGCGGCTCGAGCCAGGCGCGGCTCTCTGTTTTCACGGAGTCGGTATGCGTCCGGTGAGTTGCTTATTCATTCAAGTGCAATTACGTTGCTTGTGCGAGAGTATGTCGAGCCCGGATTTATCCATTTCTTTTCTGACATGCTGGGCACAGTACAACCAACTCCTGGCTTGAAGATCCGACTCGTTCAAATCCCAAAAACGCTCTTCAGGATGGACCGCGGTGCTGTTTTCAGAAATAGGCAACTGTTTTTACCCTACATCTCAGTATTTAGGTCTCTTATTCGTCATGGTGCAACACCACTTGGAATATATCGATCAGGAGATGCCCCTGTTCGAGTGCCTGGAAGACAGAGGCACCGGCGCGGAATGGCTCTCTTAGAAGAGCTAACGCTGTATTGGAAGGGACTTGCGAAGGCAGGTACTGCGTCTGTCACAAAGGGCCGTTTGTCACTGTTTCAGCACTTGCTAGGCATTGTAGAAGCTGTCTCACCCCAACACATGAGAGAGGCGCAAGGACGACATGAGATCAACGGGGGTCAACAGGATTCAAGCACCAGTGATGAATACGACAGCGATTGGGGCACAAGTGGGGAAGATGACGAGAAGGAAAACATGGAAGGCAGACTCAAGGGGCTGCCAGTCGACAAACACCAAAAGAACCTCGAGGATAATACTGCTCCAGGTCCTGTTGGGGACACGGGTCCGAACCATGCAACGTCTCCTGCATTGCCGCAGAAAGGGGATTTATTCGAGAAACACATGGAGGCGGGCAAAGGGGAATATGAAGTACCGGGAGGGTGCAAGTACAAAGAGAGCCCGCCTGCACAAAACTTCCTCCCGTACGTATTTACTATGCCAGAACCGTGTACTTTATGTGCGGAAACCGATGGTATCTACATCCTGTGTCATCCGTCGCTGGAATTGTCGGACAGGTGGACGGAAGCCATTGCCAACGAAGGGGAAGACGAGTCTCAGGATCAATAGAGTTTACGCCAAACGGGTTTCTGTGTTTTTTCTCTCGGTTATCTTCAGATTCATCCCTAAAGGTTAATCGGCCTCCGTATTTAGCGAAGCCTCCAGCCCTAATCCGTATGCGCCATCCGATTCAAGGTGAGGATAATAGCTTCGTCTCAGCGAGAACTCGACAAATTGCATCATTTAAACAGCGACGACCGTTTGTAATCGTGGAGGAATGCCCAATACGTGGGAGTTGACTACCAATTCGAAGTTCCTTTAGAGGAGTCCTGCAGCATCCACGGGTCTCTCCAATATTCACCCGCGAAAACAGCTTGATCTCCCATCTCTTCTTCAATTCGCAATAGTTCGTTGTACTTGGCAAGCCGCTCGGATCGACAAGGTGCCCCCGCTTTAATTTGGCCGGTGCCGAGTCCTGCGCAGAGCGCTGCTATGAAAGCATCTTCCGTCTCTCCAGACCTGTGGCTCACCATCACGCCGAAGCCCGCATTTCGTGAGAGATTGTTGGCCTCAATAGCTTCTGTCACTGTTCCAATTTGATTCACTTTAAGCAGCAAGCCATTACAGGCACTCGTCTCGATAGCCCTTTCTATTCTTTCAGGATTTGTGACGAGTAGATCGTCTCCAACGATCTGAATTAACTCATTTAGTTCCCCAGTCATCTTTTCATATGACTTAAAGTCGTCTTGGTCAAATGGATCTTCAATGGAGATGACTCCATAGTTCGCTGCAAAGAGCTTGTACATTCGCAGAAGTTCATCCGCTGTTTTGAAGTTAGCTGCTCTCGGTGAGCCTTTAAAGTTGAGATTGTATTTGCCTGTATCTTTGTGGTAGAACTCGCTTGCCGCGACATCCATGCCGATCTGTACCACGTCCTTGTACCCAGCTTCACTGACAGCCGTTTGAATCAACTCCAAAGCCTCCTCGCTGTCTTTAATGTTAGGGGCGAATCCTCCCTCATCTCCCACAGCCGTCGAAGACTTTCCATATTTCTTTTGTATGACAGTCTTGAGCTTGTGGTATATCTCGACCCCAATTTGCATGGCTTCCTTGAAAGTTTCCGCACCAGTGGGAAGCACCATGAACTCCTGCATTGCAAGATCATTGCCGGCATGCGAACCGCCGTTGAGAACATTGAAACAAGGGACTGGTAACATCGGTGGAGGATTTCCTGCAAGGTTATTGATATGCTTGTACAATGGGATCCCCTTCTTCGCAGCACCTGCCCTGGTGACCGCCATGGAGACACCTAAAATGGCGTTCGCACCAAGACGGGACTTGTCAGGTTGTCCATCAAGATCGTTGAGGGCTTGATCAATACCTTCTTGGTCCGTAGGATCCATGCCAATGACTGCGACCGCAATCTGATTGTTCACATTGTTGATCGCCTTTAAAACTCCTTTCCCGTTGAACATCTTCTTATCTCCATCACGTAGTTCATGAGCCTCGTAAGCTCCCGTCGATGCCCCTGAGGGCACCATTGCTCGGAACTTGCCGTCATCGGTTTCGACCTCAACTTCCAATGCAGGGTTTCCTCTAGAATCAAACAGTTGACGGGCCTTCACGTCCTGGATGCGGGACATGTTGCCGCAAGTAGATCGCGCAATTGAATGCCCCAGCGAAATACAGTGGGTTCAAATTGTCTTTTGATATAGAAGTCCGGCACAATCGACAAGAGTTTGGCAATAGCTTGACGGTGTCACCGGCTTTTGCATCGGGCTGCTCACACGATAATAACATAAAAGCTGACTGCGTTGGAAACCAGAAGGCGCCCCTTGTCTATAGCAGTACGTGTAAACAGTGTCAAGCAGCCAGATACTGTACAATGCACTACGTGGGGATCTGTCAGTGGTCTTCACGTGCTCCTGGTGGTGAGACAACCCCGATGCGATCGGCTACCAGAGGTTCCTTAAGTGTAACCCTATAAATTTCTGCGATCCCCTCGGCATTTTAATTTGAGGAACCAGCCCATACAGTATTCCGAAATTCGGCAAGCAACTGTACTGTATCTCTAAGAATTCACATCAGTATATAAGGTTATCGGCATAGGTAACCCAAACGGTTCCGGGTCCTCTGTTACGGAAATTATTGACCCTGTGTGACACTTCTTTCAAGGACCTCGTTCTGCAAACGCTCTTTCTGTTGTTGGATCGTGCACTTCGACATGCTTGAAGTGACTCGAGAAGAGTATTTTGTGACTATAGTTTCGACAAAAAACATGTTTGCTGGCGCACGGCATGTTAAAGCGGTTATCTAGTATTCCAATGTGAAATCGTTTTATGTCTGCAAACTCTTTCTTCCGTTTGACGGGCTAAGGATCGCAAAACTAGAATTGAAGTTTCATGTGTCTTCCCCGGACGATCCTAGTCCCCCTTAACACAATTCGAAATTGTCTCTTAAATCGCTTGGCGCGCAAGTCGCTTGGCGTGCTTTGATGAAAGCGCCAAAATGATTGAGAAGTGCAGTCGTAGATCGGCAAGCCAAACCTTCAGAGTGCTTTCGTGTCTGCCCACTACTAAGACTAGACAAAAAAATGCGACATATGTGCAATCAAAAGATTTTACTAGCGCACTAGTCTAGGCAGTCATGCCTGAGCGAAGCCGCGTATTCGAGAGGTTGGCCGGGGCGCCTGAGCCGTCCTGATCGCCAGCGGCGACGGGTTCCTCCGGCTCTGACACAAACATCTCGACATGGCACGGCTGGCTCATAAAGGCGTTAATTCTCCCGTGGGCGCGGAAAGTCCTACGGCGCCCACGTACGGCCTTGTTGACCTGGACGTGGTCGATGACGAGGGTGTCGGTATCGATGCCGCGAATATCGGCGTTGCTCTCAGCGTTCTTCACCATGGCTAGCAGATATTTGCATGACTTAGTCGGCCACCGTCCCACGGGGACCTTCCAGTTGCGGCACTGCGGCTTGCCCTTGACACCGATGCGGAAGCGCTTGAAGGGGACGATCTCCTTCTTGTCCATGACAGCTTGAAGATACTTCTGGGCACGCTCAAGGGTCATGCCCTTGATCGCGGCGCCGACTTCATGAGTGTTCTTGAAGTGAACTCGAAGGTCCTTCCCGCACGCTTTGGCCGCTGTTGTGGAGAAAAGATAATCGATTTCACGCGTCAGTCCATGCTTTGCCCGCCGCTTTTTTCACGTTAAAGTATCACCGCAGCCATCGAAGGAAGCATGCATACGATAAGATACGTTTGCAAAAATCTCCGAGGCGCCGGATCCCGATTGGAGGCAGTCACAAAAGAGAGCTGCACAAGCGATACAAACAGGAAAACTTACATTTCGCCGGGTTAGCAGGTTCTCTTGAGTATGTGTGCTTTCCCATTGCAAATGATTGCGATAAAGCAGGACGGTGGTTGATGAAAGTCGGCGCGAGTCGGTGAGGATGAATCGGAAGCTGGTGTGCAGTGGCAAAGACAAAATTGGCCCATCGGCTCTCGACCAAGGTGGGTCGCCGACGGCGCGCAACACGCCGACCCTAAATTACACGTGGCCATGTGTCCCAAGTGAACAGCAGTTTTTTTTTTTTTTTTTCCAAAAAAATGGTGGCAATCGTCACATATTTACGATTTTAGAATTTCAGGAGGCGCAAGTATCTAGTTCTTGATACGAATGTGCCCATCGGATCAACGATAACGAAGCACCAAAAGTTCAGCGCGGGGCGTTGGGAGCTTTTCACTCGCTTGGACTCCTACTCCTGGACGCTCCTCTTCTCCGCTTCAACGCATTCGTTCTTCCACTTCCTCAGCGCTTTATATCAAGCCGAAGCTAGCCCATCGTGGCAACGCAAAAACCATGAGTCGAGGAGGCACCGCACACGGTAGCGGTGGTGTGCGCAAGAAGACGCGCGCAAACAACATGGGCATCCAGTGGTGGCGTAAACTAACGCTTCCGCGCAGAGGCAAAAAAGACTCTATCCTTTTACCACAGCAGCTGACAGAGTCTCAAAGCGCCCTCGTCGAGCAACGCCGCGCGGCCCTGCGGAAGGCCACGGCCGCTCCGCGCGTTGCCCGGACTAAGACGCTCGCGACAGCGGACTGGGACCCGGAGATATGTATGGCACGCGTTACGGCCGCGAGGGGTAACGCTATGCAGAGCATGGGCGTCTACAAAGATGGAAAGCAAATGCTCTACCCGGAAGAGGCCCTTTTTCTTGTCGATAGGGGCGGCCTTGACCTGTGTGTAGGCGGCCTTCCCTGTTCAGTACAACGTGCGTGGGGGATTGCCATGGGAGCGATTAATTCCTTGTCATTTGAGGAGTATCTCGCATTCGCCTACTTGAGGCGAGCAGGGTATGTCATCAGAAGGGTGGGTTTGGATGAAGAGCAGCAGTTGAATTCGCTTAAAGTTTCGTTTGCGGCATGGCGGGTAGGTGCCTTCAAGAGGCGGGACCCAATGAGACCGATGTTCTATGTATCCGTCTTCAAATACGAGGATTCATTACCGAGTTTCGACGACGTAGCAAAGTTTCTCGATGGGGCCGGAAAGTCACGGCTAAAGTTTGCGCTCATCGATCGAGGCGTGCTCGTTTTAAAAGACGTGGCCGCAAACGCTACCCCTCTGTCAGAACGGTTTATTAGACGTCTCAGCCCGGAAGAGCGATCTAAGGCACGAGAAATAGAAATTGGAAGCCTTGGAGACTTCATCACTTCGCCAGTTGGAAAAGGAGAACAGCCGTCTACAGAAAGTGGGGCTTGTGTAGAGGCAACACAGATACGCGACGGCACAGCAGATAACGGATAAAGGCTTCAATTGTAGAACATGTAACACCGAAGTAGCATCATGCACAGACGATATTTCTAACCACAAAATTACAAAAGGGCTAACTTAAGGAACGGTCCAAATGAGCAGGAAGCTTTTGAAAGAGCGCAACTGTGAGAATCTTCCTAAACATCAACGTAACCCGGCCATAAGACGCCCTGTGAATTACTGTACAGACATACGAACAAAGGCGGTGAAGTAATTGGTACTTCGCGCGGAAGACAGCAGAAGCGAGCGAACCAGGGCCTTCCTTATGCCGTCCACGAGTCCTCAACAATCTGTTGCACACGCTTGTTGTATTCGCGGCGGTTTTCCTGGAACAGACGAGCGGCCTCAGAGTTCGCCGGGGAGTTTGGGTTGGGGTCGCATAGCAGGCTCTGGATTGAAGTTAGAACAGCGGAAATATCATATATAGGGCTCCAGTTGCTCTGGAGGATGTCCAAGCAGATACCACCGTCGTTGTAGACGTTTGGATGGAATAGCCTTGACACAAACTTGACAACTGGTGGCTTGTTGGGGTAATCTTCAGTGAACTGTAGGGTCAGCTTGAAAGTACCGCCTTCCCATGGTGTGTCATCCGGGCTGTTCAGAAATAGCGGAAATAGTGAATGGGCGATTAGCATGTAGTAGTGTTTTGCTTCGAGAAAAAGACCAAAGCAAAAGCGGTGGTGACTTACCCGAAGATGACTGCATTCCACTGCATGATATTGTTGTCGCATGGTGCCCCACTGATTCCCGATGGAGGGTCCTGAGGAAAGGACAAAAAGAGAAGAAAAGCGCATGAAAATCGAAGTTAGCTAGACAAGACCAGCAGAACACTGTACACGGACCCGGTACAAACGAGGGCATGCTTGGCGTACGTTTTGAAGCTTCTTGAAGTCTCTGATAAGTCTCTTTCTCGCGGGAGTCGACATTAGCTGAAGTGAGTGTGTGAATGCGTTCAAAGAGTAGCAGTGAGTAAGAGGTAGTTGACAACTCGCCAAGAGCCTGATGGGAGAAAGAAAACTTTTGGACCGCTACTGATGGTTCGAAAATAGCCTGCTTCACGCTCCAGCAGTTGACGTGGGGGCACGGGAAGGAGGTTCAAAAAGGGGTGACGGCACTAGTCTGCGAATGTGGAGTCATGACTCCAAGGGGTCCTCAGTGAGCCACATTTTCTAGAAACCTCATATTTGTTTTTGCCGCGCCTTGTGTGCTGCGCTTGCACAAAAGCGCCACACCGAGTCCACAAAACGACCTCGAAAAGCGGTCCCTTTCTTTCCCTCAGCCCGTCTGCGTGATGGGTGCATATTGATAAAATTCTGGAAATAAAATTCTGCTACAGTACTCCGCCGCATCTCACCCAATCAGAGGCCACGAAAAGTGGCAATTATCCACCACTGGGTGCATTCTGAAATGGCCGGAAAACCAAACTACCAAATATCGGCCAATAAAATTGCGACAAATTTGTCAAATTTTCTCAAGATGCGAAGATCTGTAAAGGGTTTTAAAGGGGGGGCCCGAAATAACCGGACAGATTCACAATTACTGGACAAAAATTTTGGGGTCATTTGTGAATCTCGGGGTGACAGGTGCGGCTTTTGACCCTCCTGAGGGGTGTATTTCTAGACCCCGGGTGTTTTGAGGGCGACTACTCATGATCAGGTAGTATTGAAGGGTGACGTGTCACTTTCATTCAATTGTGAGGGTGATATTTTCCGAAGAAGCGGCATGTTGAAACATGCCGAACTTTATCTGTTTCTATAGGGCGACATTGGACCAATTCTGAGATTCATGTGTGTCTCCGTTGGAAACATAGGGTGACTTATTTTTGCGAAACACTAACAATGTCTACCTACTCTATCTACATCAACTCGGCGAGCCCCCATAAAAAGTCTACTTCTCTATATTTTTACAACGTTCACTATTTGGTTCCACCACCACGCTTCAGATCTGTGACGCCCCTGGCAAACAAATCAAATAACTTCTCCAACCTCTCCTCACCGCTTTTCGACGAAGAGTTAAGCTTATCTGCAGTGCGCGGGCCAGGCCGCCGGGCAGGGCGCCGTCCTCAGCGCGCAGCTGGCCCTTGCGCGCCTGCAGCTGCTGCTTGAGCGTACGCATGCGGCCGAGCTCGCGCTCCAGCGCCACGCCGCGCTCCTGCTTCTTGCGGTTGCTGCGCCGCGCCGAGATCCGGTTGCGCTCGCGCCGCTCCTCATCCTTGATCCGCCGCAGGATCTCGTGCACTTCCTCCGTCCCCGCGCGCGTCCCCGCCCGCGACCAGCCCGCGCCCCGCGTCCTTCGCCTCGCCGCCGCCGCCCTCGCCGCTCACGCCCGACCCCGCGTCCTCCGCGTACGATGCGCGCTCGCGGCTGCCGTCCCACGCGTCGCCGCCGCGCTGCCGCTTGGTGAGCGAGCCCTTGCTCTCGAAGTGGATGGTGCTAGTCTCGGTCGACACGCCGCTCGCCTCGAACGCCGCCCGCTGGCCGATGCCGGCTCCGGTTGGCCCCTGCCACGCGTCCACCACGCGCGGCCGCCGCGCCTGGCCTCCGTCGCTGACACCGCCGCCCCCGTCCATCCCCGACGACGTCATGCTCACCGGCGTGCACTGCCCGCCGCCAAACTAGTCTGCGCGAATCACCCCCTGCGTCCCGTCCCCGCCAATCTCGGCCAGCAGCTCCTCCAGGCTCCCCCCGCTCTGCATGCTCGGCGCCGACAACCCCCTGGAATCCGTGGCCTTTGCCCGCTCCCCGTCCTCGTCCTCCTCGTCCCCGCACCCGCTCCCGCTCCTGCTCGCACCTGAGCATGATGTGCACGCGCGCGTCGCGCGTGATCCTGGTTGTGGTGCTGGTTGTGGTGTTGTTGTTGATGCTGGTGCTGGTGTTGGTTTTGGTGGCGTCCGCGTCGGCCACCACCACCACCACCACCACCTCGCGTTGGATGACGGGGTGCAGCTGCAGCAGCAGCAGCCGCGGAACGACAACGGCGGCACGGTGTCGGTGCACCAGGCAGACGGGGACGAGGAGAATGGAGGAGGACATGTGCTGCGAGGCGGAGTCCGCGAGCGCTTCGGGCGGGTGCGGGAAGACGGGCGGCGGCGGGGCCACGCGCGTGGTGGACGAGTGGAACGTGAAGGCCAAGGACGGCAGGGCCGCGGACAGCAGCGGGGCCATGTGCAGCGGCTCCACCGAGAACAGGAAGTCCAGTTGCCAGTTGCACATCACACCAAGAGCAACAGTGGCGGAGTAGTATCCTTCATGTGGCTGTGGAAAAGCATCATCTCGCTGCTCCACGCACCTGTCACAGATCATGTGAAGTGGTTACGTCGTTCGGTATTTTACACACCACAAAAGCATATTTACTTCGTGTTTTCGTCCCCGTATAGCTGTCTCAGTGCGCAAGTAGCGACAGTATGAGTCTCCGAACGGCAAAGAGAGCACGTATACTTCCTCTTTGATGCTGTTGGTCCTCGCTCGTACCAGCTTTTTTTCGCTTCCCTGCGTTCTTGACTGGCCTCCGGCGAGGGGGAGGGATAGCTTTTGGGATCTGTAGGTTCTGACCTAATGCTACTAAACGTTTAGACTCCTTGATGACTTTGTCTACAGCGTATTGCGCCGGTATTGAGTAGCACAAGTCGTAGTACTGCTCTTTCCATGCTCGCGTTAAATGTCGCCGCGCAATGTGCTTGAACAAATTGTGGGATCCGTACTTCTCACATATCACAGCCGTCCCATGATAGCATGGAAAACCGGAACCATCTCTCGAATGCGTGCAGCATGAAGGGGGCGTATTTGGCTCTGAACTTATAATTACACGCCTTACGCGCGTTCCGTCAACGACGCTTCGGACCGTCGCCTCTATTTGTAGCGTTCCTTCTACGAACCTGACGGACTGCATATAAACTCTGGATCTCTGAATGAGAATCGCGAGGTGGTGCTCAATTTGAGATGGGACCGGACTCTTGAAGTCAAGTACAGATGCTTGCCGCTTCAGGAAGGCAGCTCGCTGTGTGGAAATAACTCTGTCCAGCATCTTTTGTGGCTCTACTGTCCTGATGTGGTTCCGCAGGGCAGCTGCCATCCCACTCTCTGCTCTTTGAGACGTTGTGATCAGATCTTGCAACAAAGAGCAAGATCTGTACAGCTCACTGTCATTAAACTTGTTAAGGTATTCTTTCATCTTCCTCGGGAAGTCGTTTTTGGCTTCATCAACCTCATCCCTGCTTGGGTTTCGAAGCGCTTTGTCATACATGCCCAAACCAACGACCTTTCCGACACCCAGCGCGGTGCCGAGATTTTTTCGGACATGCAGTGGGTCCAGAAACAACTTTGCGTGCTGTATGCAGAGCTTGTACGCGGCGTCGATAGATTTCTCCTGGTCGACAATAGTCGTCCTGCCGGGTACATCAAACCCGGGGATATCGGCGGCAGCTTGGAACACTTTCTCCCATGTGTCCATTCCTTCCGCTCCAACGAAATGGGCGAATACCAAAGGGCATAATTGATGATTGGCGTCATGTCCGAACACTTCGAATGTTGTTCCGTATGAGCGGCGGCCCAAACCCTCGCAATGCGCGGCATCCGCTGCGCATGTCATCCTTCTCTTTCTGCAGAATGCTTCTGCGACCATCGGGATGAAGAGGAACCCCCCGTAATATTTTCCCTCGTCTACAATGTCCGAGACGTCCACATCCTCCGCCTTGAACTCGGTGTATGATCTTTGCCTTTCGGAATATGAAAGTTTTTCCTGTTGCTTGTGTATGAATCGTGCAGCTTTGATGCGCTGGGCTTTCATTTGCGTACCAGACAGGATAAAGATGTCTACCCTGTGCCCCAATTCCCTCAGCAGACCGCAATAACATTCTAGGGCAGCCATGTCAACGGCTCGAGCAGCTGATATGTATCTGTTCAGCTCACGCCTCACAGCTCGCTGGTGTGAGTTTGCTGGCTGTCGACGATAAATTGACTTCGCTCTTAAAATTGACCCGAGGAAGCTGGTGGTCATGTCAGGGTTCAACGCGAACTCATGACGAAGCGCGCGAGCAACTTGATCAGCATTATATGCCGGTCTATTTTGACAGGACTTGTCGTCAATTGAATTCCCATAACACTCGTTGTTGTGCTCTTGGAACCGATTCAACCTCCACAGGCCTGATTTTGGTTGCCGATTAAAAGTGATAGTTCCGACGCAGCCCTTTCGCCGACAAACCATACGCATCATTTCAAAAATTTTCACAACATTCACTCCCTGTGGCACCCAAATTTGCAGTATATGCTCGAATGAGCTGCTCGCAGCGCCATCGTCCGGAAAGCTGGATTCCAACCTCAGGGGTATACGGGACGCATCTTCGGGGAACCCAGGTCATCTCTGCTACTCTATCGGCAGCTATTTCCGCCTTTGCTCTTCTCTGACTTCTCATTTTTGACGCTCTCTTTTGTTCCGCCCGCCTTTTTTCCGTTCGAATTCAGACATATTCGGGCGGTCAAGCGGCAAACTCCTTTCGGCCTCTGCTGCAAAATCATCAGCTTCTCCTTCACTGCTGCTGTTCTCAAGTGTTACAGCTATGTATGCGCGCACATCGAAGTCATCGTCGCAAATATGTTCTGACGGAGAGGAAGGAGATTGATCATCCCTATCTTCTATGGATATGTTTTCTTCGTCAGTTTCCCCTTCTTGACGCATTTCCTCCTCACACGACTGATGCACTTGTTCTTGTTCAGGTGAGAGCGAGGGCTGTCCTTCCCACTCCTCCTCGTGTGGTGTCTCTTTTTCTCTCGACGCTGCCTCCATTCTCGCGCGTTCCCTCTCGTTCTCGAGATTCTCTTGGTTTTGTCGTCTCAACTCCTGGGATATTCTTTCTTGCATCATTTCCTCAATACGGCGACGCTCACACTCACCCTCCTCCCTTTTTTCCTCTTCTTCACGTAGCCATAGTTCGAGCAGTTTTTCTTTCGAGGTTGGCATCAGCGTAAATATTAGCGTTGGGGGAACCAGCTGCGAGGTACCCTCCCCGTATTCCATTTCCTCAAACCGAATCTCTTGCTCCGCTTGTTCCTTTGCGCGACTGAGTTTTTGCATAGCTTTATTCGCGGAGGCGCGATCTGAAGCACATTCGTCGGGATGGACAAGAACAGAAAGCTTCTTGAAACGCTTCTGTATGTTGCGCAAAGTTGGCTCCTCACTTTTGTCCGACGAATCTCCGGGATGAGCGCAGCAAAAGACGTCTATGACGGGCGTTTCACCGACTATGACTGTCTCGAAGTGGTACAGGGCCTTCCCAGTGTCTTTGGGAAAAGACCGCATAATTATCCCGCCAAAATGTGAGATGGAAGGGGAGGAAAATGATGAGCGACAGAGGGTGACAGGGCGAAAGGGAGATGCCGTGCGGGGGTAGGTTTCGGACGCGGGTATTTGTGGGGTGACCGTTGAGGGAAGTGGAAGCGGCAAAGGGTCTCTGAGATATTAGGGTATTGGAGACTTAATTTCTCATCCCGCAATACCCACGTTCTTTTTGCTCGGTTTTGAGGGCACTGTGGTCAAGCGCGAAAAGTTGAGTTGGCGTACTTCTATGGGGTGATTCTGAAAAAACTGTGAGTTTCTAAGGCGGCTTTTCCAAAGTACAAGCCTCTTCCGAGACGGAGTGATACTTTACGGGTTTGTACGGTGACATACGCGATGATAGGTTTTTCGGAGGTGACTTATTGATCATATTTCGTGTCGCCCCCAGAAAAGGTCATTGTCGCCCCATGTAGAGAAACCAAGGTCCAATTTCACCGGATCAGAAGCACGCCTTCTAGACGTGTCACCCTATAAAAGCACTTGAAAACATGAAGTCGCATTACGTAGATTTCACTTTGGGCAGGTGTCGCCCCCTCATTTTCGCTTTTGCCCAAAATTTTGTTTCATAACTCTGGCCCAGGTGCATCGGGTGGATTAATTCAAAAACAAAATTGCGGATCATGCAGCCCGCCCAAACCACCCAGTACGCCCCGATAGTTTCCCTCTCTTGCCTGACATGAGTGCGCAGTGGTCAAACCCTCCGTCACTACCCTTCCAGTGCTCGTGAACAGCAAGACCAAACATGGTGACAAAACGCATAACTGCTCCGCCGGACAGAGTTGCAGAGGCGCTCAAGTTTATCCAGTGCAACCACACCTACCGAGAGGAAGCTGGAAAGTTGGACATTGCTCGTTCAACTCTGCCTCTGCGCATGACTACGAGTTTCCCCATTCAAAAAGCCGGTAGGACATTCAACTTTACTCCACTCAAGGGAAACATTATTCTTGGCTTCCTTGTCAGTAGGACAAGGACCCTTTGTTCTACGGGAATCAACGGCTGGCCTATAGGGAGCCCTCCCGGTTTCTGAGACCACGCGGGGCACCATCTGGTTTTACAAGTCGGGATGGTGAATGGGAGATGAACTCACATTCCCCGCAAATCATCTGCTACACATGCTACAAAGTCAGGGATCATATCAACCCCGACTGTGGTATGAAGCTGCGCGGTGTGTCTCTCGTCCCTCATAATTTTGAGAATCTCACGGTGACACAGAAGGCCCGCCTTCGGAAAGACGCGTATTTGTGCGCCGTGGCTCTTCTCAGTTTCGAGGCTAATCGGTTGATCGCCCCTGTCCTTCCTTCGACGTCTCCCTCCGCGTTGTATAAGTCGACTCCCCCCGAAGAGAAGGCCCTACACCCGAAAAACTAGGAGACCAACAGGTGAAAATTGCTGGTAATCTGTCGTGGGATACCCGGTTACCCCCGCTCTCGAATCCAGCAATCCGTGTCTTGGGACCGAAACACGCTCGCTAGGCAAGTCCTTCCAACCCTGATCCGACGGTCATTGGGACTCTTCGCCAACTGTGGCGTTTTAAAAACGGGAGACATTCCCCGAATGAAAATACAATCGAGCCAGCTTGCACAATGTCTCGACGTAATTACAAGGTCTTCGCAGACTTTGGGCTCACCACCTCAATTTTGTTCGGCAACTTGCCCTCCTTGACACGGGTGCCGGTTCAAATTTCGTTCTCACCCACACCCTACCGGAAGGGTGGGACAGTCTGCTCTAACCGTGGGAAATCACGACTATCACCGACGCTAAAGGGCGTCCGTTACAAACAAGCGGGATATTTAGCCTCGTTGTTCGATTAGCAACTCGCACCATGAAATGCAAGTTCATTCGGTGTGAGCGACTAGCAGCACCAGTTATCCTGAGCAGTCACTTTAGCCGCAAATTCTTCGAGGCCATCTATCTACGTCGGGAGGTGGCAGAGCTCCATGATGGAACAAAGTGCCCATCGAGAGAAAACCGTCCATCCAGCGAGCCGACGCGCTTCCGCTCCCGTCAGAGCAGGAGTAAGACGACGCCCGGGTCGTGTATCCACAAAACTGAATGTTTCTCGTCCCGTCATCATACCGCCCAGGACACAGGTCTGGGTGCATGTGACCAACGTTCGTACGGGTCTTTCCGTCCTGGAGCCCAACTCTCACCTATGTTGGAAACACCGCGTCTCCTTGTCGAACGGAGTCGCGCACATCACCGCGCTTCGAGTGTTAAAAGTATTTGTGGCCAACACCGCAGCGGCCCCAAGGGCCTCTCGAAGAACCGGGAGCTGGGGTATGTTGCCCCCGATCCGCGTACCATGATATGCACCGCGATGCCCCTCGATGCCCCGCTGGCGGCGGAGTTCACAGAGGGGGACGAGCCCCAATCTGAGAATGGAGATAATATCCCCGGCTCCGTCGAAGGAAGATCCTCAAGATATTGATGCTGTATCCCTCCGAAATATGCCGTTACATGTCCGTACTAGGGTCGTGACATGGTGACGCCGTACTCCGGGCTGTGGAGTGGCGATCTCGGAGAAGTACGGGCTACACAGCACCGGACCAACCTGAACCCCAGCTCGAAGCCGTTTCGTTGCCAGCCATATCGTTATGTACCACAGTCCAGACAAGCAGAAAAAACGCAGTGTATGACATGATCTGAAGCGGGGTCATCTCTCGCTCACAAGCAGAGTAGGCGTCCCCGGTGGTTTTCATCCTCAAACCGGATGGATCCCTTCGTTGCTGCGTCGATTACCGACGCTTGAACGCGATGATTGTCCGGAAAACTTACTCAATTCCTCGTATGGACGAGTGCCTGGACTCGCTCGACGATGCGAACGTGTTCACAACTCTAGATTGTCCCTCGGTTTATTGGAAAATACCCGTTGCGGAAGAAGATCGTCCGAAAACCACGTGTACGTGTCACGCCGGTACTTATCACTTTAACCGAATGCCTTTCGGGTTGATGAACGCTCCCGCCACATTCGGATATTGGACATTATCCTCTCCCGCTAACGATGGAAAAGCTGCCTCATCTACCTGGATAACATTATCATATCTCGAAGGATTATGAAACTCATCTCAAGGATGTCGAGGTTATTTGCTCTGCCTTACAGCATGAGGGGTAATCACCGAAACTCAACAAGTGTAAATTCTTTCAGGACTCGGTGGAGTACCTGGGTCAAATCATTCGACCCAGGGGAACTTCATGTCCACCCGAAGACTGTTCGGCGTTATAACGCCGGCTATAGCTTAGGCAAAGCCGCCACGAGCTCAGACAGAGCTTCGCTCGTATCTGGGTATTCGTAAGGTGTACCGACGTTTCGTCGAACACTTCGCCAAGATTGCGGCGCCTTTGGCGTCCATGCTCAAGAAGGGGGAACCCAACCTGCTCGCAGAACTGGACGACGAAGGCAAGTCTGCCTTCGAAACTTTTAAGACGTGCCTGATATCCCCACCAGTACTGCGATTACTGCGACTGGGTTTACCGTACTCCCTCGATACGGATGCACCCAACGCTCAACTCGGTTGTAAGTTGTGGCAACAACACGAGGACGGCAACAGATATCCCATCGGATTCTGGTCTCGAACGCTCTCTTCGTCGGAACGTAACTTCTCTACGACGGTGTAAAAATTTCTGGCCATCTTATGGGCCATTCAGACGCAGCATTCTTACTTGTAACACGAGCTATTCACGGTTTACGCCGACCGTCATTCCCTTCGTTGCTTAATGAATCTCGCAAACGCAAGTGGGCGTTTAGCACGGTAGTTTCTACGCCTGGCCGAGTTTGAATTCGACGTCAGGTAGATGAAGTGTATCAATAATTTTCTTCCCGACGCCGTTAATCGAATTTCGTCTACAGGGAGCATAATCGTCCCAATCGACGAAGATATGCCGCTTTTTCCGTCTTAGAGTTTCACGAAGACCAGCTGGAAGTTGAATCTGAAAAGTAGAACGACAACATCCAAACCGGATGCTTCGGCCATGACCCACCGGCTTCTAGGGCTGCAATTACGCACGACGACATCGTACGCGCAGAAAACTCCGACCCTTTCTGCAAGGAGATCGCTTCCCATCTTAAGAAGGGGGAGAGAATGGCCCAGATTCGCCTCTCCAAGTTCTCCATGAAGAAGGAAGTGGTACTTTGTCGGAAAGCGCACCTTGACGGTGTTGGGCAAACCGTCATACCAACAACTCTGCGCGAGCAAGCGTTGTATCTGGGGCATTATTGCGCCGCGTCGGGACGGTCCCGACGCGGCGCAGTAATACGAGCACACGCCTCCTCCGGGATGTGACATCCCGGAGGAAACGTCTGTTCTATAAATTAAGACAACGGTACTACTGGCTGAGTATACCCGTTGATGCATATGCCACAGTCAGAAGGGGCTCCGACTGTGCGAAATCTCGCATTAAATAGCGTAAACACAACGCAAAGTTGAAAACGTTTCCTCCGATGGAACCCTTTGGAGTTTATCGTCATTGACATGTCAAGGGAACTTTGCAGAACTCCTACAGGTAATCGTTACCTCTTGGTGGTATCTGATCGTTACTCAAAGCTGACCCGAACGGTATCACTTAAGAAAGTTAACGCCGAGACTGTCGCTCGGGCGTTTGTCTCATGTGGCATAACCACCTTCGTCCCGACCACTCGAAAACGAGGGGGGTTACAGTCAAGGGAGCGCGCCGCTGGGTTACCCATGCGCGAACGCAAATCGTACGGATGGACTCGAAAAGAGGGAAGGCTCACGTGGCCAGTGACGCGCAGTCGGACGGTGGTGTTATAACCGGACGGCTGGTCACGGATTAGAAGCCTGAGACTAAAAGGAAAACCGGAACGGGAGAGCAATTAGCCGTAAAGGGAAGGGAGGCGAGTCTGCCTCCTTTTTACTGGGACGGGCAAGAGTCCCCGGTCTTAGCCCCTAAGTGGGACGCCCGGACGCCTGTCCCGCTACAGTAGCTGCCACTTACTGTGCACCAGCTACTGTACACAATTACTTAATTTGTGCCATTAATTACTACTTACTAGTTAGCCACCGTACGGATTATACACGTGTGCCCGTGGCCGCAATCGCGGCCGACGGTTGTACCACGCATTACCGTTGGCCACGCCCGCTGCTACCGGCTGTCCCACGTCGGACCCTTGGGGTACTACTGTACACGGCGGCGGGCGCGTGTACGCCCGCTCGCTACAGTAGCACCCGTCCTCCCGCGGGGTTATCATCTCTCCAGAGTGATCGTGGACGGAATTGCACTACAGACCCCCTTCCTTACTTCGCGACACGTCCCTGTCGCGGCCGATGTCTGCAATGACCGGCTTGCAGGGGGCGTCCACCGTACGGAAACCCCCGCGCCGACAGCGGTGTCGTGCACTACAGCCACGTGTGTCGGGCTGTAGGCAGAGCGACGCGCGTTCGGGCGCGTAAGGGGATGACGGGAGACCACCCGGTGGATGACCGGAACCGGGATCCGGGCGCGGCTTGCGCGGTAGAAAGGTAAAACTAGAGTCAGCAATAAAGAGGAAGAATTAAACGAAGAACAGAGCTAACGGAACGGACAGCACAGTACTTAACGTAGGGCTCGCGCGGGTGGGTCGACACTCGCGGGGAAGGCAGTTGGGATTCTAGGGGTGTGTAGTGCACTAACATGCCTCCCTCAGTAGCGAGGCACACGCGAGTTATCCCGCGTGTACACGTGTATTTCTCCCTCAAGCACGGCCTGGTGTAAGCTCTGTCGAAGTACTGACAGCTTCATCATCCACGTGTATTCGTGTATTATCACCACGTGTATTCGTGTATTATCACCACGTGTATTCGTGTATGATCACCACATGTACTCGGGTATCATAACCCGGTACCAGGGGTATTGCGTACAGTACAGCATATAAGCTGATACGCCGGTATTATTACCGTATTTTAAGCTATTATTATTACGGCGTCGACGACTATATAGTCGATGCTCCACCCTAAGTAAACAGGCACGAAGCCTGGGATTCTTTCTCATGTTTCTGGATTCTCAGTAGTAGCCTCACGCCGGTCTTCGCACTCCCTGTGCAACACCACGCGAGCCCATCTATTCCCTTTACTCCCCACTCCTTTCTACCGCGCACTGCCACCAAGGATACTACCGCCCCTACGCTCGTCCGTTGCCACTCGCTCCCCTACTACGCTCGCTTCGCTCTGTGTTTGTCTGTTCCTACCCGTGTCTACCTACCGCGCACGCGCGCCCGGACCCCGGTGCGGGTTATGACCAGGTGGTCTCCCATTTCCCACTCCCCCGCGTCCCGAACACGCGTGCTCTGCCTGAGGCTGCCACACGTGGCCTCAGGGTACGACATTTGGTCTCCCGACCTAGAAGTCTGCGAAGTCTTCTCTTACACTTTCTCTTTTATTTTCTGACGTTTTCTTTCCACCGTTCACAGGCGTTGTCCAGACATGGTGTCCGGTTCCGAGAGCTCCCGAGAAACCCGTACTCGAGACGTACCACCTGCCACTGCGGCGTGGATCACTCGGAGTTGCCGCGAGGCACTCCGAGAGGCCGAACGGTTTACGCTCACTACTGTAGCGGAAAAACTCGCACCGCAATCTCCGGCGCTGCGAGAAAGTCTTAACAGCTTTTTTGTGGAAACGATCGCCGCACAGGCGGATTTTCAATGAGCGCAGGGACGCGATCGACTCTCCGCTTTTGAAAGCATTTTGACTCGCGCCTAGCAGAAGGACATATCTGCCAGTGTCGACGAGGCCGTCCTCCCTCTGAAACAAGAGTTCGTCACTATAACTGCGGAGCTTAATACCCTCCGGCAAGAAGTCTCCGTCTTTAAAACGTCCCGTCCCGATCTGTTACCGGCTACCCAGGTCGGATCGGAGACGCAAACTCCAGCCCCTGCTGCTTTTAACCCTCCGACTACCGCCGGAGTTGCCACGACACCCATACCGGGTGAAGTGTCTACCACCACTCCCGTTGCGGAGTTACCCCCGTTGAACAAGAGCTCGCTCTTTTCAAACGTTACCCTCCCGGCGTTACAAGCCGCTGGGATTCCGGTCCCCTCAATGGGGACCGTACCACAGTTTTCCGCCAATCACGCGCGTTAATGACAACGGCTGGAGCGTCCCGAGAAGGTGCCTCCGCCGGACCCAGACACCTTGCTGGTGAATTACCTTCCCGGAGTGTACCGGGAGGGGACCCCGACCCTAGGGGAGGTTTGGACGACAACGGAGATGGACGACGAAAGAAGTTCAACCCGGTCGGAAGAAGCGCCAAGATCGCCGTCACAAGGGACGAAAAAGGGAAAGACCCGCCACACGAAGATTCATCCTCGTATCACTCGAGCTCGTCCTCGTCGTCTTTCTCTGACTCGGAATCTGATTCCGAGTCGGAGTCCCTCACGGCACTAATGCCGACGTTCGGCCCCAAACAGAAACACCTTTCTGTTTGGAAGCCGACGAACCACCGCTTCAGGGGTGCATGTAACTACCGAGCATACCGTCTCGTTGACACTGGCCAAAACTTGGATGACAAGGTTTATGCCACCACCCATAAGAGGGTGCAGTACCTCCTCGTCGTCATGGGTGAGTACAAGTTCAGCGGGGTGGACCCGATCAGAGTCATAAGCTTCCTTGCGCGCTGCAAGGAAAACTTTGACAACGCCAATATGACGGAGGCGATGGCTCTGATGGCCCTCCCCCACCTGTTATCACCGCCCGCGAAAGAGGCGTATGAGTCCCAGAGGGGTTTGCACCGCAAATCGCAAGGGATCACGAGTTGGGCCGCCGTCGTTAATTGGTTACTGCTCACATACGCAACTAACCTCGAAATTGAGCGGGCCCTGACCTCCTTACGGGAGTTACGCCAGAAGCAAGGCGAAACGGAAACCGAGTATGCTACTCGTATGCTAACCGCCCTCGGGAGATGCGGCGACGTCCACTCACCGTACGTGAGGACCACTCTGTACATAGAGGGACTGACCCCCGCAATCAAGCCGCTGGTGCTACAAACTCGCGAGGATGGTCCCCGATCCACGTTCGAGGATACAGTAGCCCACGCCCGGTCACATGGCGATGCTCTACCGGTCCAGC